ATATTTTAGATTATCTTTCCCCTCACTTTTCCCTACTAGAGGAGGAAACCTACTAACTACATAATTAACAATAACTAAAGTTATCATAATATATTAATTCCCTTATTATTATCTATATGATTAAATACCTATAAATACTTAGGATTATCACCTTTTATCATAATATAAGCCTATCTATAACCCTATACTATATAAGCGTATATACCACGCCCCTGAATACACTTATACCTATACTAACAATATATATAAAAATCTATATACTTTATCCTAGTTATTTTAGGTAATTATAAAGAAGCTATTACTACTCTTAAGGTAGTAGTAATAAATAGTATTAATATAGTATAGTAATAATATCTTAATATTAAAGGAGTAATAGGTTATAGTAGTATAAAGAGGGAGATACCTACCCCCTAGCGATTTACGCTCTCTTTATATACCCCTATAGGTAACTATAGAGGTTTCTCTATGAGCTATCCTAGCCCTCGAATATTTCCCCGTGAGAGTTATACGGCAGTTAACAAGGTGCGCCTCCAGGCGGCAAACTGCGAAGAAGAAAAGTTAGAAGGGAAGAAATATAACCTCGTCCTCACCACCCAACTCCTGCGCAGTACAAATCCCCTCGGGGCCTCCGCTTTAGCCATGACCCGGGCACCTTTATTCCCGATCCGAAAAAGATTCCAGCGTTGACAATCCCATTGGGTCAATCCGCGACGACCGTCCCGTACTCGCGGTGTGAGTCTGCGACGCCGTCACTGAGAAGCTGGCCTCGCTGGTGAGAGAAAGGGCCACCGCTGGACCGAGCTGTGCAGCCTCAGGGCGTTGGCATGACCAGTGTGCCACTCAGGCCTGCTGGTCTTATCCTACACAAATCCCAGGCTCGGCTCCGGATGGTAAACGGCTTTCTAGACTTGCGCCTCCTTCTACCGAACCGGTGCACCCACTGGCCTGATCTTCCCAAACTAAAAGTTGAGTTCTGACAGATGGGGAAAACGAAAACTGGCAGGTGCGGCATCAAACCAAACCAGCTGCAACTTCGCGAGAAGCGGTGCCGCCTAGACTAGCGCCGTGCGACCCGACCTCCTACCATATTGGATCTGACCTGCTGCAGCCACTGCATCCAGTTTCTTGGGAGCAGTATCACTGGCCGTCGACGAGGGTATTGTGAGGGCCTCGACGATGTCCCCAGCCGGACGAGATACGGCGGATACAGCCTGCAAGTCAAGGACACTTACATGGCCGGGTTAGAACTGCACTGAACATGCCGCCCGGCATTGTCCATCTTCTTTCACTCCTTCAACGTCGTATCTTGTTCACGTACAGGGTGTCTGTGGCCACATCTCGTATGTCCTGGGCAAGTAACGGGATGAACAACTGGATACGAATAGGTGTTCCGGACTCGCGATCCTGGTATCGCTACCGACACTACTGCTACTAGTGCTGTCGTTGAACGTGGCAGGGCCCGCTCGTCTTATCTTATCATCCTTGAGGGGTAGACGTACATGGGTAGTTTGAAGACGTTCACGAGACCAACAACTGGCAAGCTTGCGACGCCGAGTAATATTCGCCGACTCGCCCGGCGGTCGGAAGCCCAAGGCCGCTTTGCATTCTCCCTTTCCGCCTGTTCGAAGACGCCCAGCAGAAGCCGTCCAATCCTTCTTAATCTACCCGCTGATCGGCATCTCGAACCGCCGACGAACAGAAATGTCCGGGGTCGACAGCAGGCACATGTGTTGGCATGTGGCTTGACCTTTCTGGCCTTTCTGTCTTCCTGGATCCCTCGCAACAATGGCGACTGAAACACCGAAGGCCATTCTAGTCTTCTTCCCGACAGATCCTTCCGCTCCATATCCCATCCCTCGACACGATCAAGCAATCCTCGGTCTCTAAATATGGAGTTGTTGACATGTTTATTTACAGCACATGCCATGTTCAATGTCCAACGTGGGGTATCAGCTTATGTATCTGATCCAATTCCCCTCCGCCCCAACAAATGATCGATACAACGCTTTTGAGATTGCGAGTCTAGCGTTGATTGCCCATCAAAATTAGCTATTCAATGCGTGCTCGTCTCTCAATCCTGATTTCCGACGGTGGGGGAATCCCTACACCTTCGCACCGCCTCCCCAGTCGCAACATCAACCCGGCTATCTCTCTCCCCTCCCACCCAAAATTAACCCGAGGCGCCGTATCCGTTTGCTGCCATGCGGACGATTGGACGTCGGACGGTGAAGGTTGACCGAGCCGAGACGCGGAAGCGAATGTGTGATTTATTTCCCCACGGTTCATTCCATTTTCGCCAGCCCCAACAAGCCACAACAACAACACCCCTGGACCACATCGTCCGATTCCCCCAGCTTTTCCTGTCAAGGCCCCCTGCCAGCGAGCCAACGGAGAAGCAAAAAGAAAGGGATTGCACAGCAAACGCCGCAACACCCTCCATTGTGTAATGTATTATTAGCGCCTTTGGCTGTCAATATACAGGGGGTCTCTCGCCCTTCAGGTAGGAATACATCAGCCACGATTGCAACTGTGATGGGCGCCTCTGGCCCGCTGACCTCTCCGAGACAATGTAGGTTGCCATGTTAGCACACCACTTTCTGAACAATGAACAATGGGTAGCGGCGTTTCCCTCTTTTTTTTCTTTTTCTTGATAAGGGTCACGTATCCGTGTGCAGTCTGCAGGAAACAACGCCAGGGGACGTTGCTTTTCTTTTGTTTTCCCCCGTCTTAAACAATGTCTCAGCCAGCCTGCGGAAGAGGACAAAGAAGAGAGCAACCCACAACATCCCGCTCAGGCTGCGGCCACCAAATTTCTATCCAAGCAAACGGGAAGATTAGGCGCACTTGGTAGAATGCGGTCCGGCGTCCGCTACACTGATAGAATAAGAAAGAAAGGGGAAACAGAGGATTCTCAGCTTGCATCCCGGCACGACCCCCCTTCTCCCGTCGGGCTGCGAGTGGCACAACAGTCGACGGATGCTCGGGTATCCGCCGACGACCGGGCGGTCGGGGCGTGGTTTCTTGCTTGTTTGCCAGGTCCGGAGGGTGAGAGTGTGGTTGATCCGATGTTTGACGGCTTGTTCATGGGGATTGGCGCTCGAGCATGCTGAACTGTGTTTTTGGGACCAACAATGCCACTTCCAAAACTCCGCGACAAAGTCTATCTCTGAGGCTCAATGGACGGGATCTTTGGATTATGGTGCTTGAATTGCGGATGGGCGTGTTTCTCACGTGTTCCTGTGGGAAGAAGTTCATGCTTGGGCTTGGGAACAGGAGGGAAGAGGAAGAGGAGGTTTGTTCGACTAACATCAGCTGAAAAGTCACGGGGCGGGGCGTCAGCAACGTTTCGATAGTTCCTGGCGCTCACGAGATGCACCGGGAGGGAAGGCAAGGGGATGAGGGGCTTTCTTCCGCTGGTCTGTATCCGGGTCTGCGATCCCATGGACATGGAGCGGGAGTCTGCAGCAAGCTGAAAGCTGTGCGTCTGGCCTCCGCTGCAAGGAGTCGGTCACACTGCGCGACGAACATACACCACCACCCCCGAACGGGAAGGAGGTCTGGAAGGGATGGCGCGCCCGGCGCGATGGGGCTTGAGTGACCTTGGAGGTATGGCGCCGGGATGAGCGGCGTGGTGTATCGGCGCCGGAAGTGAGAGTGATCTTCGGGTTTGCCGAATGCGGCCAGCGGCGGTTCTGGAACGTCACGGCTCCGGTAGACGACGGAGGAGCCGGCTGTCAAGGTTCACACATACATGTCACGCACGCATGCTGATCGTCTTGTCTCAGGTCCCTTCTTTTCTTCTTCTTACGACACGTCGCTGTATTGCTATCGAACATTGCTGTGGTACGCCATTGCGTAGGGACAGGCTGAGCGGCAGAGCCTCCTCGTTGTCGTTGTCGTCGTCGTAGTCGTGGGCTTCGTCGCAGTCGTTCTTCGTCGTCATCGAGTCGTAGACCGTCGTCACCGTCACCGCCGCCGCCATCTCGCCCATCCGCCTGGCTTCACAATTTTGCATCCCGGGATTTCGCGACGAAAGATTTGATATCGTTTTCACTTTTTTTTGTCATTAAACTATCAGTAACTTTTTTTTCTTGTAATAAACACTGAATTGACACGAGAAAAAAACAACGTCGTGCAATCAGAGCCGTGTGTTCGTGGATGCTTACTTGCGCATGTCGACCACGGCTCTGATGCAGTCGCCCTGCTTCATCGTGTCGAAGGCCTCGTTCATCTCGCCGAGGGTCTTGCGGTGGGTGATGAACTCGTCGACCTTGAGGTCGCCCTTGATGTAGTCCTGGACGAGGCCGGGCAGCTGGGTGCGGCCCTTGACGCCGCCGAAGGCGCAACCCCTCCAGACACGGCCGGTGACGAGCTGGAATGCTGTGGATAGGTGTCAGCATCGTGGTCTAAAGTTCATGTAGGGAGGGAAAGGGAGAGGCATTAAACTTACGTCTGGTGGAGATCTCCTGGCCGGCGGCAGCAACACCGATGACGATGCTCTGTCCCCATCCCTTGTGGCAGGCCTCGAGGGCAGCACGCATGACGCCGACGTTACCGGTGCAGTCAAAGGTGTAGTCGCAGCCGCCGTCGGTCATCTCGACGAGCTTGTCGACGATGGAGGTGCCCTTGGGGAGCTCGGTGGGGTTGACGAAGTCGGTGGCGCCGAACTTGCGGGACCATTCCTCCTTGCTGGGGTTGACGTCGACGACGATGATCTTCGCGGCCTTGTTGACGACGGCCCCCTGGACGACGGACAGACCGACGCAGCCGGCGCCGAAGACGGCGATGTTGTCGCCCTCCTGGACGTTGGCGGTGATGCGGGCGGCGCCGTATCCGGTGGTGATGCCGCAGCCGAGCAGGCAGGTGCGGTCCATGGGGGCGTCCTGCTGGACGGCGACGACGGAGATGTCGGCGACAACGGTGTACTGGGAGAAGGTGGAGGTGCCCATGAAGTGGAGGAGGTCCTTGCCCTTGCACTTGAAGCGCGAGGTGCCGTCGGGCATGACGCCCTTGCCCTGGGTTGCGCGGATCTTGCCGCAGAGGTTGGTCTTGCCGGACTTGCAGAACTTGCACTCCTTGCACTCGGGGGTGTAGAGGGCGACGACGTGGTCGCCGGGCTTCACGTTGGTGACGCCCTCGCCGACGGACTCGACGATGCCGGCGCCCTCGTGGCCGAGGACGATGGGGAAGGCGCCCTCGGGGTCCTTGCCGGAGAGGGTGTAGGCATCTGTGTATGTATATGTTAGGTCTCTGAGGTCTTGTTGGTGGTGTTCGATCGAGGGGGCTTCCGGGAGCTATGCCGGGAGCTGGAAATGCGGTCTCGGAAGCTAATCCGAAGCTCCTACGTGACGATGTGAGGGGTTTATATCGGGACTGACTGACCTGTGTGGCAGACACCGGTGTAGTAGATCTCGATACGGACCTCGTGGGCCTTGGGAGGGGCGACTTCGATGTCCTCGATGCTCAAGGGCTTACCGGCCTCCCAGGCGACGGCAGCCTTGCAAGTGATGGTCTGTTTGGGAGATCATTGGGTCAGCGGAGAGCTCGGGAGACGTTCAATGGCGGGCGGGTTGGCGGGAAAAGACGATCAGTCGTAGCTAAGCTACCCCGCAATGTGAAGCAGCAGCAGGAGCATCGACTGTGCAGGGAACATGACGGTAAAGATTGGACATACCTTTCCTGCAGTGGCAGACATGATGGGTGTTTTATTTGATGAAGGGAGGGTCGATGAGAACCTTGATGGAAGAGGAATCACGCACTAAGCCTTGCTCTACTGGGCAGGGTCAGGTATTTATTTCAAGAAGGAGGGGGGGAAACGGATCTCGAGATGCAGATACCACACACACACACCTGCACACCCAAGACCCAGACGAACTGCCGCTTGGCCATGGCTGGGCTTGCAAATGGATCTCCAAACCCCACCCCGCTCTATGCTTTTTTCCCCTCCTTCACAAGAGAAAGCACTGGACGCGCCGTGGACGGGGAGCTCGGGGGTTCGGGGAGGGGGATACGCAACGCAGATGGCGACTACTCTGAAAAGCGGGGCTTAAAACAGCCCGTCATCGAGTGCTGGTAAAACAGAGTTGATGCCAGCCGCGACTCTCGGTACAGCCATTGGAGGCACCCGCTGAGAGTGCAGAATTACCCCAAACCAGGACGTCATTGGCCGGGCTGGGCTCCTGCTCTTCCTTCCTCTCCCTTATTTAGCGGAAGCGAATAAACCCCGGAATACAATGTTATTCGCTATTCAATGTCATCTGTGTTCTAGGCAAGCGTACGGCAGACCAACCGGCCAGCCAGCCGGGCAACCCCTCCTCCACCCGTCCGGCGTGTCTTCGTCGTTCATGGCTTGCTGCACATTTGATACTTGTCTGCAGACCGCAGGAGGGGCCGCCAAAAGTTTAAGCCGTCGGGGTTAGGCCTTTGAGGTGCCATTTGCGCCCCCGTTCAGGCATAGTCCGTCGGCGATTGTTACGAGAAGCCAAGCCGCTGCCGCTCGCGATGCCCTTCCGTTTCGCCAAGGAGGAAAGGACAAGCACGAGGCCCGGAGAGTGTGTGTCGAGTAAGAGCTGGAGGAGTCACGGAGCACAGCCGCTGACCAAGACAATCCGACATATGTCCGGGCCTGGACCGCCGAGGGGAGTCTGTTACCTTGCTACAGGCTACGGAGTTGTGCTTCTCTGTGCCAAAATTGCCAGCCGTATCCTGCCTGCTTGGGTAGCTTCATCCTATCTTATCTCAGGGTCGGACGGTGACCCGACGCCGAAGCCGGCCGTGAAATGCTGGAGCCGGCTTTAGGTAAGAAGCCCGCAGAGCAACGATAAGACGGGATCGTTGTCCGGTTACCGACCTCCGTTGCAGATGATTGATGCTGTGAGATAATAAGAAAAAAAACCTCTGACCAAGTGCTACATCAAAACCCAGAATACACCAAAGGACAGAATACATCATAACCACAGTACAAGTATCCGAGAGAAAGAAATCATGCCACATTACCCCGCAAACGCAGTGTTGTGTTGATGCAGCCAAGCAGCCATCACCATGTCATCATATCTTCATAGTGTGGAGGGAACGTCTGAACTCTGCTGTGCCGAAACTTCCAAAAATACGACCCCGACTTTCTGTAGTGGAAAGCTGAAATTGGGGAGTGCATGGAGTTTGGATGCATCGCCTCAGCAATGTGCCACACCTCTTGTCGGGAGTCGGAAGCGCGTGTGTGAGGTGAAGTGGGACGGGGAAGCTCTCGGTTTTTAGCGGCTGTTACGTACTTTTAGCGGCCAGCTCTCCAGCTGAGAGCTCCTAGCAAGAAAACTGGCAGGCGGCCGGCCAGAGTGGGGCTTGTGGTGCGGCTTCCTCCGCGTTGACCAGGCGAGCATCGCGAACCTCCAAAATTTATCCAGCAAGCGCGTCCGGCCAAACATCGCAGAGCTTGCTGCCCAGCCTTGCTCATCCACCACGATACGCGCGCACATCGCAACTCCGACAATCCCGTCAATCCCGACGAACGCGACACGATTGATCGCCTCGCTTGCTGATACGAACGAAAATTCCCTTGCATTTGCACACCACCCGCGAAACGAGACGCAGCCGGGTGACCTGAGGTCGCCCGCAATCAATCGCCATGCCCAACAAGTTCAGCTTCAACGACGACTGGAGCAGCTCGCCGCCATCCACCCCTGGCCAGAACACAGGCAAAGGATCAGCTTATCCCTTTGGCGATAATCCGTCGACAACACCTGCAGGCCCTCCGCCGTCGTCTCAGGCGTCATTCACACCTGCCGGCGCACCGTCTGCATCCTACCTCGGAAGCTCCTTGTTGGGAGCTAGCACTAATCAAAAATCGTTCAACTTTGGCGGCGCGAGCACCTCAGGTCCTACGAAAAACCTCTTTGGACTCAGCAATGCCACGTCCCAGAACCCCTTCTTGCAGAAGCCGTTGGGCCAGTCAATCCACCAGAGCTCCAAGCACGTCAGGCAGCCCTCGGGACTGAGCAAGGAGTATGGCGCCGAAGAGCGCGACGTAACATACGACAACCGCACCGGCCGCTACATGATTCCCGACGACTCGGAGGAGGAAGAGGAGGATGAAGAGGAGTACGACGAGCGTGAGGAAGCCGATGCTGAGATGGAGCGATACCTCGAAGCTGATATCGATGAGGAGGATGCTGATGGCGAAGCAGAGGACGAAGAATATGCCGAGGACGACGATGACATGTTTCTGAATATGCGCCACAGCACGCGCCACGACGACGAGCCTGTCTACTCCGACGACGGTGTGGACGGCGGTAACGGGGAGGAGTCGGACCTCTTGCTTCTGGCAACACCAGCGGCGACGGAGCGTATGCGCAAGGAAGCTGAAGATATCTTCCGTGCCTCATCTATGCGTCGCTCTTCAGCCTCCAGACGGAAGGACTTCAAGTACGCGTCCATTGCAAAGGATCTATACAACCAGATGGGTATGACGGTGATCACGGAGTCACCCGAGGTTGTTTTGAAGACGGAGGACTTGGTGAACCAACTTTACGACGAGGGAATTGGTGCGCAAGAGGACCCGGACAAGCTGGATGGTTCTTTGGCGACGATTGTGTACCCCCTGGTTGAGCTCTGGGACGACTTCTCCGAGACATTGCCCATGCCCGAAGGAGAGCACGTCGCTGAGATTGGACCTGGGCCTGACGCTGAGCCCTTCCACAAGGCCGCCTACGTCGCCAGGCTGGTCCTCCAGATGCATCACACCCGCTTTGCTGAGGGCCCCGGGGAGGTTAAGGCGCCACCTCTGCCCCAAGTCCTCTTCAACTGGATCGAGGACAACCACAACCTCTACCCTGATCAGTTCAATATTGTGATGCGTCACAGGCCAAGCCCCGCCAGCCACAGCCTCTTTTGGCCTACTCTACGAAGCGCACTCATCCGCGGCAACGTTAACCTTGCTTCCCAGTTGTTGAGGAATGCCGGATGGGAGTCTGTAAGGAAGGGAACTCGCGCAGAACTGGCGTACAGCGGTAAGGCCTTGGACAACCTGCAGCGTGCTGTCGGCATAACATGCGAGGCACTCGACATGTGCCCAGGGAACAAGGGCAACTGGGACCTCTTCAGCAGTGACTGGACGCTGTACCGCATCCAAGCTAAGGGCTCACTGGACAAACTGCAGCGGTTCGCAGAAGGCAAGGATAAGGGTCTGTATGGCGGGGACAGCGACGACAGCTCATATGGCCCTGGTCGCACATCCCTAGCTCGTCTAGCCCGAAAAGCCGAGGGACAGGTTCCTTGGGATATCTACGAACACCTCCAGACCATTTACCAGATCATCATGGGCACTCCTGATGCCATCCTCGAGACGGCGCAAGATTGGTGCGAGGCAACGATTGGTCTTTTCGGATGGTGGGAAGAGGGACGCGGACAACAGAAGAGCCTGCGCATGTCTCGATCGCAGGGACTGCGTCTGCCAGCTGTTTCGTCTGGTCCAGAGAGCTATTTCGAGCGCCTCTCGCTTTCTTTCCACACTGCGATCGAGTCGGATTTCCACATCAACGCAATGAACCCTGTCGAGGTGGCCATTGCCTCCGCTTTCGAGTCGAACTTTGCCGCGGTAATTGGCATCTTGCGAGCATGGTCTTTGCCCATTGCTTCTTCCGTGGCGGAGCTTGCATCTCTCGGACAGTGGCTTCCGAAGCCCGAGCCGCCCAACTTGATTACTATGGACAGCTTGGACATGGAGGATCTCGACATCCTTGGAGTTAGCCCCCAGGGGGCTGATGAGGTGGAGGGCATCAAGGACACGACGCTCACGCATTACGCACGAGAATTGGCCGGAATCGACCAATTATCTGAGACTCGCAGTGGCTGGGAGATGGCGATCCAAGTGCTGGGTCGCATGGACTCAGCGGCCAAGTCTGAGGAGATGGTGGGCGAGCTGCTTGGTGATATTCTGCAAACCATCGACGGTGATTCGGGCGTGACTGTGGACAAGATCTGGAGGATCTTGAACGATCTGGGCATGATCAACTACGCCGAGCAGACCGCAGAGGTATGGTGACTTCCTTTGAGGAGAGTGACAAGTCAGCTAACAAATTACAGACGTATGCAGACATCCTGGGAGAAGAATCTCACAGATATGGAGAGGCATTGTGGTACTACGCCCTTGCCCACAGACCAGGCAAGGTGCGCGAAGTGCTCAACCTGCTAATGTCATACTCTCTCCTACACTCTACGGTTTATCCTCCTGCGAACGACCTGGACGACCACCTTCACAAGCTTCTAAACGAGCGATCGCAAACCCTCGAGCAATATGCCAAACAGGACCTCGAAGCGGCACAACTTCTCGGCCGCATGCTCAGTGGTTACGCTACGCTTAGAAAGTACTACGAGATCCGGGATACCGACGGACTAGCAAGCATGTCGGCACACAAATCTACTTCTCTTCGCAAGCAGGCCGCGTCCGCTCTAATTGCTGTCGTCGCCAGTTCCGATGACAACATCCGCGGCGGCCTGTATGACGAGACGCGTGATGCCGTTGTCAGCGAAGACTTCATTCTTGCGCTGCTCGGCGAGGCTCTTCCATTCGTCAACCAGAGCCCTGCAGTCATCACGTTAGACCAAATGGACATCCTTCTCAAGGCGATTGAGGACATCCAGACGGTCAATTCAACAATATTCAATGCGGCGGACGAGTTCTTCAAGCTCGTCCTGGCTTCGGCTCAAGGTCTGAAGGGCTCTACGCCAGCGGATCTCATGCGCAAGAGCACCGGCTCCCTCAGCGGAAGCTATATGCTGAGCGGCAGCTCCATGCTCGCGAGCCAGCTAAACCGCTCCATCAGCGACAGTGTCGGCCTCTCACGCGCTAACACCAAGCGTGGCTGGGATTGGAGAACAGGCTTGACGGCGAACGCATCGGCAGAGGACGTGCTCCGCGTCCTGAGGTTGGGCTTGTCACGAGACTTGGCGACGCTGTGGCTGGCAGACGCTGATAACACGCCATTGTACTAGGACCGCATTGGACGTGTCGCGGGTGTCAAGCGCAAGCGCGGCAGTGCGGTGGAGGAAGATGGAACGGGACGGAGTTTTTAAAGTAGGCGTGGGCATTACAAAAGAAATTCAGATGTATAATACCTTGGCTTCATCCAGAGAGAGAGGCCTTGCCGGTGTTGGTTTTACTGTCTTATGTCGTTAAATGAGACCACAAACTGATGATAGCATTCGTACAATACTGAAGTTGTGAATGACGGCGGCTGTTCCTCCTTCTCCCTGAGGCTCCTGTTGGATTGAAAACCGTGGATCTTAAGAAGCAACGGGGAACTGTCGCTCCCGAACGGTTGCGTGGGTCCATGCCTTTTTTTTTTTTTTTTTCCCCTTCTTTTTTGGTTTTTTTAACCAACGACCAACGAAAATCGACTCTCTCATCTCCCATCAACACACTTCCAATTCGCCTCCGCTGGGTTCATTTTCTTCTTCCTCGGCCACCAACAATTCATATTGAGATGTCAATCTTTATAAAACAATGATGAGAGTACCGACCAGAGCCGCCCGTCTCATTGGGACCGTGGGATATGCGCGGTCGTTCGCGTCGACGGGAGCCCTGCGGGCGCTTCCATGGAGCAGCAAACGCGTCTGTGTCGGATCACTGGCAATCATTTCAAATTTTCGCCGTTCTTATGCGATTGATACGTCTGAGCCTTTTAGGAAGGAATTTTCCGAAGCCGCGGCGGCAGAGAATGAGCTTGGTGGGGATGAGGCCCATGAGGAAGACTTTCAGCCATCGAACGAGATCGATGACCGCTGGGAGCCCTATCGCCGGGATAGAATCAGCTCTCGCCGCCGCTCGCAGGCGGTACGAGCGGTTTATGCGGAGCTGAATCGGATGCAGAGGGGTCACTCGAGAGTTGCTCACAAGACGCGCCTGGATGGGCGTCTGAACTCAAGGAGAGGGCTGAGAAGCAGGGGAGCTCCCGATTTTGTTCAGCCGTTTATCGAGCGCAGCAGGAGAAAACGAGACGAAAAGGAACAGGGGGAAAGGGAGCGTCATGAGGAAGTGCGCCGTGGGAAGGAGCGAGGCCAAAACCAGCCCGTCGTCATCACCATCAACGCTCAACCGGGGCACAGTGTATCTGTGCATGCGACAGTGACCCCCTACTCCTCATTCATAACTTCAAGGGCGGACACAGCGCCAGAAAATGGACCTGAAGGCCCGGGATGGCGGACCTCCTCATATGACAAGGATGCTCACGTGGCCAGCGAAGATGGATCTGGATCTGTTGCGCCATCAGCAACGGAGGCATCTGTGTCGCCTTCAGTCTCGTCGGAAGAAAAAGTACAACCGCCGGTGGAAAATCTGGGCACGAGAGACGAGGCGAGTGAGGCCAACGAACGTGATGAAGAAGAACAAGTCAGGGGTGAGCCGGGAGTATGCTCTCTCTGCGATCGCAAGTCGTATCAGATGACCAAGCACCACCTCGTTCCCAAATCGGAAGTTGAAAATGCAATAATCAAGCGTGGGCGGAAGAAGAATGAAACGATCCCTGTCTGCAGGCCCTGTCATGAGATGCTGCACTCAAAGCTCACGAATTTGCAGATGGCGCGGGGGATCAACACGCTGCGAGCCCTTCGGCAGTCATCGAGTCTGCAAGCCTGGTTCGAGCACAGACGGAAGCAGGGTGTTTCGTCAGATATGGAGGTCGATGTGGAGAGTGAAGACGAACCGAAGCGACCACCAAAGAAGGATGCTAAGAAGGATGCTGTTCGTAGGATACTGTGGACGATCAGGGCGGCAGAGTTGGATCCTATGAGCGGCTGGCGGGGATCGCATCCACTCCAGGCCATCTGCTCGCTCGTTCGCGCGATTATCTCGTATGAACGCGCATCGGTGCGGTTGACGCGCTCGGGAACGAGCGAGATGCCTCCACCGCCCCAAAGCGTGGACGAAGGCTATATCAAGAAGCAGATCAAGACAGAGCCAGAGCTAAAATTGTGGTTTGAACAAATGGTTTCCACCGAGAAGAAGAATCAAAAGTCGGTCGTGAAACCTCAGTCGGTTGAGAATCCTAAGCAGATTAAGGTTTCTAAGTTGGCCAAGGATCTCAAGGAGGTTGAGGATCTCGAGAAGATAGAAGATTCTAAGGACGTCGAGGACTCTAAGGACTCTGAGGACTCTGAGGACGTCGGGTATCAAAACCCGGCCCAGGAGACTGACACTACACAGCTTCCTTCGCCGCCGAAGTATCCTTAATCGGGATGGCAGCGTTGCAGCCACCGTGGTCCTATTCTACGCAAGGAGACTTCACCTTCAGGGCAGCCCCGTGCATATCGGCCAATCTACCTTCCAGGAGCCGCCATTCAGCAAGCAGCAAGAACTGGGGCATTGGGCGAGATCATTGATCAAATGCAACGGGGCACCCGATTTCGACCCCAAGTTTGCGAAAATAGGGAGATAAGAAGCAACTGCAATCTAGAAAATAAATCGGCCCGTGTATAAAACGCATTGGATACACTTGGGTATTCTACGTCCGCTACGGAATATGACGACACCCGTGCCGTGACCAACCCCTCCAGTCCGAAACTATCTCGTCTAATCTATGAAATGCCCAATAAAAATCTCAACACCCACTCCGCGGCAACGCCCGCGTCGTCCTGCCTCCTCGTGCCCTCGAACGCCTTCTCCAGAAACTCTGGCGAGAAGCCCTTCTCCGGCGTGTAGAAGTGCTTGATCGTCTCCTCCATCATGACCTGGTCGCCCTCGAAGTGCGGCTGGATGGTGAGCACACGCGAGGGCTCGTACAGGCCCTGGACGGCGCACTGCGCGCTGCCGCCGATGTTGAGCCACGAGCCCGGCAGCGTCGCGGGGAGGGCGACGTGGTCGCCGTGGCACATCTGCAGCCTGAGGCCGCGGACGTCCTTTTTCTGCTCAGCGTTGACCTGGGCGAGGCCGCGCAGGCAGGGGTACTCGGCGACGAGGCGCGGGTGGAGGGCGATGGTCTGGACGCCGAACTCGTAGCCGGCGGGGTCCTTCTCGACGACGGCGCCGTGAGGCCCGAGGAGGACCTGGCCGATGAGCTGGTGGCCAAAGCAGGTGCCGAATATGCGGACGCGCGGGTGGTTGGCGTAGACGTCGGCGATGAAGGCGGCGAGGCGGAGGACCCAGGGGTGCGTGTCGTAGGCGGCGGCGATGGAGCCGGTGATGAGGATGGCGGAGACCGCGGCTGGGTCTGGGTAGGCGTCCTCGAGGACGTTGTGGGTCGTGAAGGTCGGGACGGGGAGGGAGGCGGCGGTCGCGGCGGCTGTGAGGTGGTGGATGTAGGCGGCGCTGTAGTACTTCCCGTGGGAGTGTTGGATGGAGGGGACTGTGGTGTCTGTGTCTAGGATTGCGATGACCGGGGGTGTGGGTGTTGGTTCAGGCATTATGAGGGGGCGATGGACTTGGTTTTTGCGGTTGATGAGGAGGTGTGAGACTGGGTGTAAGTTGCGGCTCACTTAGAGGGCTTCTGATTAAGACGAGAATGAAGAGTCTTGAGACGGAGAAAGGCGCTTGAGAATGCCGTCTTGTTTGGTGCGTTCACTGAATGATGTTCTTTCGTCCAGTGAGGATCAACCAAAATCAAAGACAGTGTAACACCCACATAAAACTTGAGAGATCGTCGAGTGCGGCTGGAGGGAGTCCATCTCGGGTGTCATGCCGAGTCAGATTTCGGAGGTAATTTGTCACGATCTCCGGGCTTCGGCATGCAACGCCGGCATCGGCACTCGCGCCGAGGGTGGATCCACCGGCATGGACCGGGCCTTGAGGAGCCGGCTTGTGGTGCGGACACCCATGATCCGCTGTGAATTCTTGGAGAGACTAAGATTTAACCAATTATTTTAAGTGTTCCGTTTCGCTTGATGGTTTGTCAGACATTGAACCTGTCATGCACAGGTGAAGTTCACTGCTAACGACATGATTGATACGAAACCAGTGTAATCCCTAAAAACTCAAGCCTGACTTCTCCAATATGGCGTCCAGCAGCTGATGATTCCGCAACCCCGCCTCAAAGTCAGCGTACAGTTCCTTCTTCCCCTTGGCAAACGCATCCAGGACCAAAGCCGTGTTCACAGCCCGCTGCCCAACATCGGCCGCAACCCCAAGATCCGCAGCAAGATCCACGTCTTGCGTCTCCCCGCCAAAGACCTTGACCCTGATCTTCCGGTTCGGGAAATAGCCCTGCCAGCTGCTCGAGGGCGAGGTGATTTCGACCTCGCCCTTGGAGCCGGAGATGATCCAGCGGATGCCGACGTCATCGAAGGAGGCCTGCGTCGTGCGGAAGTGGAAGGTAGCCAGGGCGCCGCTCTGGAGGCTGCCCTGGACGAGGATGTGGTCTGGGGCGGTCTTGGGGTGCGAGGGGATGGCGATTGCGGTCCTATCTGGGGTGTAGATTGGCACGTGGTCGTTGTCCGTCTTGAGGATCGAGCTGATGCTGGAGGTGTTGAAGGGGCCGAGGATGTGGGTGAAGGAGTCTATGACTACGGAAAGGTGTTAGGAAAACTGGTTTATGTACATTAGATTGGTAGGATTGTACTTACAGTGCCCAAAGACAATGTGAAAAGCGCCCGCGCCACCTTTGATATCGAGGAACTGCTCCGTCCCCTCGATCCAGAATTGCGGAGGAAGGGCGGGAAGTGTGCCGATGACGGTGGTGTTCTTGACCTCTCCAATCTCGCCGCTGTTGATAATATCCCTCAATTTGATCATGGAAGGATCAGCGCGAGCCTGCAGGCCAACAATAGTTCTCAGTCCATTCGTCTTGGCCAGCTCCACCATCTGCTCTGCTTCCGCAGCGGAATGGCCCAGGGGCCACTCTACAAAGACCTGCTTCTTCTGCTGCAAAGCAGGAAGAGCAAGTTTGAGGTGGTGAGTTACGACGACGCTGACGATGACGAGGTCGACATCGGGGTCGTTGGCCAGGTCCTGGGGGTCACCGTAGGCTTTGGTGGTTTCCGGGAGGTTATGGAACTGGATGGAGCGGCGGGCGGCCTCGGTTGAGGTGTTGCAGAGGGCCACGATGGTGTACTCGGGGGAGTTTTGAATGGAAGGGAGGAAGGATGCTGAGGCCCAGGTGCCGGGGGCGTATGAAGGGGTTTTGGCTGAGAGGCCGATTATGCCGACGCGGATTGGAGACATGGTTGGTGATGTGAGTGATGACTTTCCTTTAGGGATGTTGAGAATGACTTTGAAGGCTGTGTCGAAACTTGAGAGCGAGTCTTGGGCAGGCCGTTTTATATCATTTGACGGGAGGGTGTCAAGATACCATGAAAGAGTGTAAGTGCCTGGAAGTGCCGAATATCCGTGTCAACTCCGCAAAGCTGAATCCTAGCCAACCCGATGGAACTTCTGTACAACAGAGAATCAAGATACCTACTTACAGCAAACTCGTCAACAGCCTGGAGAAGACCATGCCCCCATGGCATGACGCTTGTGGCGTCTCTCTTGCGAGCTCCGGAGTTGGGCGAGATGACGGCCTCTGATTGGCTGCAACTCCGCTGAAAGCAGCTAACAGCTACGTCTGTCTCTCAGCGCCCTTTTGAAACGCAGATCGGAAATGCGTGAGATGTGACAAGTTCATCAACTATCGGTTTAGAACTCGGAAATCCCAGGCCATCTCTCTCAAGGTTTGGAAGAAGTGCAGGCCTCCCGTCCGGAGTTCAGTGGGTCCTCCCTTGCCGGGGCCGGCGCCGTGAAAGAGATGACCGCTGATTGGTCGGAACTCCGCGGCGTGCTGTATTTGGTGCTGACACCACTGCTCCATCGTTAGCCCCTTTCTTTGACTTGCACGTCCTAGGCAGCAGTGTTGTCGATGCCAAAACGCGATGCCAAACCCTCGGCAAGGTTCGTCTCGCCAAGGTAGTCTGCAAATCGGCAAGAATGTCTAGTCGCAAGAAGTCCTGCGTTCCTTGTCGGACTAGCAAGGCGAGATGCTCGCTGGATGCGCCTTGTCGACGATGTGACGAACGAGGGTTGGCCTGCAAGTACGACCAACTGCCCAGACGAACTGCAGCCAGATCTCTGCGGCCAGCTGTGACGTCTCTTGAAAGTGACGGCCTCGGAGATGTGAACCAATCGGTTCACTTTGCCCAGCCTGTAGCGCCTAGAACAGGAGGTAGGCCAAGTAGAGGGACCCCTGGGCCATGGACTGGAGCAACAATAGACGAGGTAAACTCGGCTTCTTCGGCCCTTGATATGAGTCTAGGATCTGATCAAAGCGTATATCCATGGATGAACTGGGAGAATTCACAACCACCGTCAAATCTCCAATCATCTTTGGGATGTGAGCTCAATTTCTTGAACCAGGCCATTGAGGGTACATCCAACTCGCCTTTCAGGATTCAAACGGTTCTTCCAAACCCGGCAATGCCCTACAGCACAAATTCGCTCTCATGGTTGGAGGATCAGAATTTGAATGAGATGGAACCCCAGAGGGCTCTGGTCCCCATTCAGAGCCCTACCTCGCCCAGAAACAGACGGCTCGTCCCGACCCAAACGCCACCTACAACTCTACCGCGATACTATGACGAGGCACCACTTAGACCCAGAATAAGAAAGCCTGCATCAACAGCCTTCACCGCAAAAGTTCTTCTCGGCCAACTTCTATCGTATCCCGCGATGATGGCCAAAGGCGGCCGTCTGCCACCGTTCATCTTCCCGCAGTGTGCGATCGATGGCGTTGTATCACCGGCCGAGTGCAGTGCGCAGGGGTATCATCAGTGTTTGCCTGAAGCGCTGGCAATCTGCTGTAGTCTGGTACAGGCCTACGAAGCGCGGACTCCTGGAAGCACGGCCTTCGTGTGGAAGAGCATTTACAAGGAGGTTGGCAGGATTAGAGATGAGGTGAGACCATAGCTCATGATCTTAGAAGTACACCTGACTGAGAACTTCCGGGCGATAGTACGATTCGTTCAGTCGCAAAGAGCTCGTTTCAGCTGGGCAAGCTATGACGATATACGTACTGTTGCAAGTGAGGGACCAAGACTCCATCCCCCTCAACGATATTGACTTCCTAATATCAACCCCTGTTGTGAGAAGCCCGCGTTTCCTGGAGTTAGACTATGTATGCTGATGTATGAGAGCAGCTACTGGCAAGAAAGCTTTACTTTCAGATGGATTACACCTCCAACTTCATCAACGGCGCTAGCCTTGACCGGCGAGAATGGGCTCTGAGGGAGAGTGTTCGGAGGTTCGTCGTAGATCTATCCTCGTAGATGCATATTGCTAACTGCAGGTTGTCGCAGAAACGTCTGTCTGAACTTTGGGTTCGAGCTGCTCGTCGACGCAGACTTTAGCGGAGGGAAAGCAGCTACCTGTGGTTATGACAAGGTGGCAGTCCCGACAGGAAGGTATCTGTGGGAGCCTGTGTCAAATGTCGAGTGGTCTGCGCGCTACAAGAAGATGGAAGCAGAGATTCGGAAGAAGCCATTGAGTATCCAAGATCTGCGACGGGTGAGACGTGCTACGGGAACCGGGACTGGAACCGAGGTGGAGGAGGGGGAGATGACATCTCGTGTGTCCGACTGGTGTGATGGGTTAGATGAGTTTGGGATGTTGGTGTGGATGGCGGTGATGATGGAGTGAATGGGATGCACCGCTGCCTTTGAGTCTCTACTTTGGGAGAAGCCGTTGGGTGCGTTGATAGACAGATGTGTATCGTGAATGTCGAAAGTCTTCAAAACCACCTTACCATCAAGTCTCAACACACAAGCCGGTAGTTGGTCACTATTTAGATTTACTTGTGTGACCGTTGGCAGAAGATTATGCTGGTATTTATTGTCCTGATTGCCATTTTGATGATTTCGAATTGGCCGGCAGATATCACCAGCCGTTCACCGCAGTGGGGGCTGTGCATGTTAGCTGCATGGTTACGTTACGCCGCCTGCGTGGCTTGCAGGCGATAACCGTAGCACAGCTTCATGAGTGGTCAGCATGCTGGAGGGTGACTCTGCTCACTTCAAACACCCTTCTCCTCATACAACGTCCCAATGCCATCGTCAAGTTCAACTTTTAGCCTGACTTCTTCATTCGAACGTCTCATCATACACTGCTCGACCATGACGGCGCAGACACTACGTGGCTTTCCCATGTTTATGGGCATCGCAAACGCAGGAAACGTAGGAAAAGTTTCCAATCATGAAAAGACAGAAGATCGAACACGAAAACCTAATTTTCTTCGGCAGTTTCAACTTTGGGGGCTAGACCCTCTCGTGGGGCTCTGAGATACTGGCCCGTAAGACAAGAGAAGCGGGAGATTAGACTTCTAATTGTCGATCCCATGGATATTGCCGTCAATACCGTTCATGCTTCTATGGAAATCGTGTCCTTGGATGGCCAACCTGAATACGATGCGTTGTCCTATGTTTGGGCTTCTTCATCACCGCCCCGGGGAGAGCGCGGAAAGCTCTATGTCGATGGCCACATTCTCGACGTAACTCAAACACTATTCCAAGCTCTTCGATCCATTGGAAGCTACCAAAAGACCCTTTCACGGCGCATTTGGGTCGATGCTGTCTGCATCAACCAGCAAGATCACCGGGAAAAGTCTTGGCAGATATTGTTGATGGCCAGCATCTACAGGCTCGCCTCCACGACATATATATTCACGAACGATAATCTTCAAGGCATCCGAGCCGCATCACAACTTGATGCCCGAAAGTTCCGAGCAGATATCAACCACTTCAAGAGAACTGCTGGCGACCAGAATGCAGACAGACCCCCGCCCGAATTGAAGCAAGACAATGTTCATGTCGCTGTTTGGCGCGACAGCCCTGAAACATCGAGAAACTGGAGGGCTATTAAGTTGCTTCTCAGTCACCCTTGGTGGGGACGGAGATGGGTGATACAAGAAGCCTTCTTCTCCAGAAATCCGGTTCTCATTTGCGGGTCGGCCTCACACTCATTACCGTTGGACAAGATCGCCCAGATAGCCGTTTGGCACCAAAAGATTGCTTCATCAGCCCATAAAGTGCCCGAGTTCATTCGAACGCTTTTCGACTCGTGCCCTTTCTATCCGCTCCTCAGGGAGTGGAAACCATATCGAACAGACCCCGACGTTCATAGGGCTCCTCTTCCAAGATGGATGACACTAGCAAAGGGCTTCAAACAGAGTCTATCCAGAGACATGGTCTTTGGTCTGTTGTCCTTGGCATCACCTGAAGACCAGCTGAGGATCAAGCCCGACTACTATCATTCAGACGAGACTGTGTTCACGTCCATCTTTGCGTATCTAGTGAAGACTTACGGCATAAACCCGTTCAGATTTAGATCATTGGAGTTTAAGAACCCTCTTCCTTCATGGTGTGGTATTTGGGGACCGAGGTACCAAGCTGAGGCAGGTTCGATGTTGCATTTCGCAGCCCGTCGGGGCAGGAAATCGTTCAAAGTCGGAGCCGGGACGAAACGAGTTGCCCGGTTTCTGGAGAACTCTGTGGCAATTGGGCGAGGAGAAGGAAACGAGAGGGCCAAGGGTGCGGGGCCCATCGATAACTCGGTTCTCGCATTTCAAGGTATCTGCTTTGACGAAGTCGCTGTAGCGATACCGAGTGGTATCACCGCAAAGACCATTCACACCTCGAGCATGGCGTCTATTGAAGAGAGCTTTCAATCTGCCATCAAGTGTTGGCAAAGACGTTGGGCTGGCCTCAAGAATGACCCATACGGCAGTGGCAATGACTTTCCTTCGGATCTCTGTAGAACGTTATTAGGGGACTGGACGGAGGGGCTGACGGACGACGAGTGGTTGGCCCACTATCAACTATGGCTGAAGGGAGTTAGCTGCTGGCAGGCGTCAAAGTGCAAAAGAGGCCTCTCATTTGGAGCCCGAAAATGTCCCGAGACTGGGCTGAATGATATGGTTGGGAGGGAAGACTGCTTTTATAGGAGCTCGAGGATCTGCTGCTACAACCGGTCTCTCATGATCACAGCACGAGGCTTCATAGGTCTTGCGCCAATCGACACCATGGTAGGGGATACAATTTCGGTGTTCTACGGGTCTTTGATACCCCTGGTTCAGAGAAGAAATGGCGGTGGTGAGTTGTACAGTTTGGTCGGCGAGGCCTACGTTCACGGCATCATGTATGGGGAGGCGGTTGAAACCAAGGACGAGAGTTGTCCCGAGCGAGAGTTTCTATTGAGCTGATTGTATTCACGCCGGTATTGCGTTGCATATCGAATTAATCAAGAGTAATACAACACGTTGCCTTCAAATAGCCTCCGTGCCGTCCTCGTAACAACGCATCTATCAACAGTGATGCCCTCAGCATCCTGGCGTGTGTGAGCCTCTACCTCCATTATGCCACTGCCGTGCTCGATGCGCCAAGTTCGACCTGTGCCGTGAATCTTAAATAGAATGTCGCCCGTAAGCCCCTTTGTCACGGCTCCGGCAATCATGTCTGATGGACTCGGTGTCCTCCTGGGTGTGGGAATTCCTTCTGTGATCACCGCAGTCTTGTGTTCTGCGATTCGATGCGCAATGGTTCCCTCCATAATCATGGCACTTGCCAAAGTGACACCTCCTGTAAGCTGTAGACTCGGGTGTGGTTTTCCCATGCTGTACGCCTGGACTCGGATATCTGCCGTCTGTTTGAATAAGCTGCCCGAGGTTGGCGGTGAGAGGTAGGCGAGTTTCGGCGTTCCCCTGACTTGGCTGGCTCGCTCGAGATTATCAGCAAGACCCATGAGAACGGCGCCTTGCCTTCTGATTGCCTCCGCAACCTCCAAAGACAGCGGTGAGTCTGGCGGCTCGATTGTGAGTTGGGCTGGGAGAGTTTGAGAGTCGACCAACACGAACGGGTTCGCGGAGTCTATCAATGTTGCTTCAACTGCAAAGGGTCCGAGAGCAGGAACCTCCTCGACAAGGATACTCTCAGCACGATGCCCACTGGGGAAGAGCTTGCCAGTCATGCTTCCCACCGGCTCGATAAAAGCAACCTTGATCTCGCTTCCAAGACCCTTGACTCCTGGAATGAGACAGTCGCCATCCTCTTCTACGTTGCCATCCTCATCAACGTAGACCGTTTCCACAATGACCTTCGAGGTGTTGGTGTTGAAGATTCTCACATCGACTGACCTAGCGCCCGGCAACGGTGTGACCAATCTCTCTTGAACTGCAAACGGCCCAACTCCGGAGCAAATGTTTCCACAGTTGCCGCTGAGGTCAACAGTCTCGCTTCCCACGGCAACTTGGACGAACGTGTACTCGACGTTGACACCAGGTCTGTCAGATGGCGCGACAACTGCAACTTTGGAGGTGACGCTGGTCCCGCCGCCTACACCGTCGATCTGGCGAGCGTCGTTGTTCTTGGAACCCATGGCTGCAAGCAGAGGCGCTGCCCAGTCATCTAATGAGGGCGGCAGATGTGAGCGGTGGATGAAGAGCCCCTTTGACGTCCCGGCTCGCATCAGAACCGCCGGAAGCGAGTGTCTGACTCGGCGTTTCGACAGTGCTGGCGTTACTGCCATGATTGGAATGGGGAATGGTGCCGGATTATGATGCGATAACTGGTGAATATATCTTCGTACTGTGGTATGGTGTTGTAAGAGTTTTGATTGTGAAAGCATTCGGAAACAATCTTCAAAGGCCTGAGACCTTGGTTGAGGATCTTGAGGGCGTTGAAGTAAAAGACTATGAGCCTCTAGGGCTCGACGAGACGGACAGAGCTCATAAATGGTTGATTACATCGCCATCACGGGGTGATACGTGACGACATTCGTATGGGTATTCTATTCCAGACTGCGAATATCGCCAGGTGTACGTGGGCGTCGAACCCGCGGGAGTCATGTTCACCCGCGGGATTGATCTTGCCACTTCCGCCCGGACTCTCGGGCCCGTCACGGACAGGGGACCAACGCCGCATCGGACGGATAGTAATACGGCTGAATGCTTTATGTGACGATACTACATATTATTCATCAGAAAAAGCTATCAAGAGCGGATCCATTGAATCCAAAGAGCAAGTCATCGAACGAGGCAGCACCGGCATCCGCCTCTGGTAGCCCCTGAATCCATGACTGGTTGCCGACGCCACTTCCCGGATCGCCGCCGGGCGGCTGGGTACTCATAGTCTGATGCATTACCTGGAGTTGTGTCTCCGGCTGTCCCGTTTCCGTCGGCACTGAGTTGAAATCTTGTCCGCGGACGAAGCTCTGTATGATACCATCAATGTCAGACCAGCCCATTGACGGGGATCCGTCCTCCAACAATGGCGGATGTGGTCTTTGATGCTCCCCGCGGCCACGCTCCCCAAGACCGCTCGTTGGTCTTCTTCCAGGACGACTCCGCGCACTCTCCGGGCTGGTGTCCGCTGTATTGGGGACTTGCCTATTGCTAATCTGAATATTGCCATTATCGGGAGAAAGGCCAACGCCCAATCTTGTCATCAGACCTTCAACTATTGCTTTAGCCCTTCTAACAGCCCAATTTGTTTCTTGGTTCTCTCTGAAGACGGCCATGCACGTCTCCAAGCACTCGCGAGCTCCCGATTCAGTGCTACGCTTTGCCGCAATGCGAACATGAATGGTGGCTGCCACGTACGTAGCATACGATATCAGATAAGGTGCATGCCGTACCGAGAAGACTTTGTCGTACACTCGGAGCACGCCTACTATGCTATCGGCGGCCGAGGCACATGTAATGAACGAGTTTATTGATAGGGAGCGAGACGTATTGTAGAGATGACCGTCAGCAACAAAAGGCCGGTGCAAAAGGATCGTGAGGACATGATACATTGCACTTGTGGATTATTAGACTGCAAATCATTTGATTCGGGTGTCGGTGAAACGAATTGACTTACTGTAGGCTGAGCACATGCGGGGGAGGAACTCTGGTGCTGCTCTTGGGGTCGAATATAAGGTGGGCTGGCAGGGCATCTTTCCACGCTGCGAGCTTTGAGCTGAGGTTCTCAAGCATGGTAGACAGTTCTTGGGGGCTTTTGTCAAAAGCTCGCTCCGTGTAGATGCAACTTAGAATGTCACTCATGACAACTGACAGCCTACACAGATGGGTGAAAGTTGATACACTATAGGCAGGCGAACCAGGATAGCTGTTGTTCTGAGCTGAGTAGGCGAAGGGCGCCCAATTCTCGAACTCTTCGAATGTGTCCAGGAACTTTATGGGAACCAGAGTGTCGGACTCTTTCAACGAAGCAGGGCGGCCCTGATAGAGGCTTTGGATCTTGTCGACAACTAGAGGAATGAGTCAATGGCCAAAACAGTGCATGTCAATGGCAAAAGTGTCATACCAAATGCTCCCCAGAAGACCCTTCGCCGTATTTCGAGATCCTCATCAGAGAACTTCCGTGTGATACCAAGGCCCGGCGCATCAACATGCATACCCAAGTCGATGATCATGCGAAATGCTAGCCCTGCGTATAACCAAGCAGCACTTCTCTCATCACCGAGTGCAAACAGCGAATTCGTCATCACCAGCAGGGCCTGAATCGTGGTTATATCACTACTATCAAGCGCATCGCCCAGCAATTTGCGGACGCGCTCACGGAATGCCCAGCCGGCCGTCCGCACATCGTTGGGGTCTCTTCGGACCTCTCGACGAGGGCTGAACTTGGATGCACCAAAGTAGATGGCATTCAGCAGTATCTTTGAGAAGTAAGGCCCGCTACAAGCCATGTCTCTCATGAATGCCGGACGGTACGTCAGTAGGAATGAATGATGCTGACGGTTCCAATGCAGCGAGAGCAGATGCATCCCCAGCTCGGGATCTACGCCGTCAAAGTCTAGCGTACCAGCGCGGTAGTTGAAGTCCTCGAGTTGACCTAACACCAAGTCAACACCACAAGATAATCCTCAAAAGTATCATCAACCCACGTTGCTTGGCTGCCTCGGCGACTAGTCCTTTCTCTATCCATTCGTCCGGCATCCGCGGGCGCAAGTCCGCGACAGACGTCCTCTCCTGCAGGCTTTCCTCAAAAAGGGCACTGGTACGGCCATGATAACTCGAAACTCCGTTGGCAGATACCACAATACGTGACACACCCGCCCGACGGGAGGGAGTCTGGTCTACCTGTGTTTCCTCCCGCTGGTTTTGCTGACCTTGACCGGGCAGGCTTGCTGAAGCTTCCACACTGCCAGGTACATGTGATGCCGTATCTTGACGGGTCTCGTCGCCGTTGTCATCTTGGCATTCTGGCCCCGATGGAGGGTGGGACCATTGTCGGGAATCCCTTGGTGTAGTCCGCCGCCGACGCTCGGTTTGACGACGAGCCGAAGTCGAGGCAGGAGGCGGGTTGTTGGGAGGGGCAGACAAGGGTTCGTAGACACAATCCTTACCGTAAGTCTTACAATTGGCGCATGTAGGCTGCTCGTTATTGCACTTGATCTGAACGGAACATGTTAGCCGTGGGAACGACAATCATGGCGGAGAAGTGCTGGGTGAGACTCGGCGGGTGACGAACCTTGCGACGTCGACAGAATGTGCAGGCCTCTACGGCCCGCCTACGAGGACGGCCCGAGACTGTAGTATTGTCCGCGAGCGGAGCCATTAACACAAGACTGAAATTGGAGAAAAGAAATGAGATGGAAATGACAGCTCCCGTGGGTGAAAGATAGATTGGCGGATGGTAATTGACCTCGGCATTGTGAGGGAGACGGAAAGATCGCCTCCCGCACGGGTAGCAACAGACGGGAACGTCGTTTTCGTCCATCCCGCGGAAGCGGCAAGGTTCATGATTGGTCAGACTATCCACTCAAGCCCCTAACCCTGTACATTCAACCGCGGGAATCCAGGAGACCGTGCATGCCCAGGTAACCGCAAGCCAAGTATCCAAACATTGGAAGTGATGTGAATCGTAGGTTCCATTTGGAATATCATCTTTTCAAAGTTCACTAACCAGCCCGTTCAACTCATTGTCGTCAGCTAGGCGTGATTCCCCTATAACCTTTTACAGAGGTGGTACGCAGAATACGTTGCCCGTTTCTGGTAACTGAGAAATTCAAAATACGAAGCCAGAAGGTGTATGACCAATCATGACGGCACTCACAACGCCTCAATCGTCGGGTATAGGAATGCCAACATCGAACAATACCTCTCTTAAGCAACCGGCCCTCAATACTCCCAGCGCTGGCAAGAAGCACAAGATTTCACCAGGTGTTTCTCTCATTTCTGGCGGTATTGCTGGAGGTGTTGAAGCGGCCATAACTGTGAGTAGCTCCGTTTCTACGCCTCTCGGAAAATGATGCTGATGATGGGGAAAGTATCCATTCGAGTTCGCAAAAACAAGAGCTCAACTTTACGCGACAAGATCTAAAAACCCATTCGCGGTTATTACTCAAGTCGCCAAGCAAGACGGGCTGAGAGCTATCTATACTGGATGCTCGACCTTGATCATTGTACAGATGAACCTTCCATATACCTATTTCAAATGACTTTCGGTGGCCAACTTCGCTGATTACTTTGCAGGGCACGACCTTTAAAGCTGGGGTTCGCTTTTTGTCTTTTGACTCCATCCGCAATGCGTTGATGGATGAGCAGGGAAAATTGACGCCAGCGAGGGGCATCTTGGCTGGTATGATCGCAGGCTGCGTTGAGAGTGTCGTAGCAGTAACCCCCACAGAACGCGTCAAAACTGCGCTGTAAGTGATATCTGGGTTTCAACACCACGATGAAAGCCCCCAAAACAGGACATACTAACCGCAGGTTTTCGAAGAATTGACGATGCAAAATCGTCCACAAGAAAGTACGCCGGCGGAATGCACGCTCTATTCTCTATGCTGCGCCAGCATGGCATCAGTGAAGTTTACCGCGGTTTGTTGTCAACGACATTGAAACAATCAGCGACTTCGGCAGTACGAATGGGATCTTACAATATTTTGAGAGAGTTTACAAAGCAGAGCAATTTGCCGAACAACAGTCTGGTGACTTTCGGTTCTGGCGCTGTTGCTGGGACAATCACGGTGTATGCAACCCAACCGTTTGACACAATCAAGACAATGTCGCAGTCTGCCAAGGGGGCTAGTACGACCGAGGCATTCAGGTTGGTTCTGGCGGAAAGAGGTGTTCGAGGGTTTTGGAGCGGAAGCACAATGAGACTTGGACGTCTGGTTTTGAGTGGAGGAATCGTGTTCACTGTGTATGAAAGGGTTGCCAGTCTTTTGCAGCCATACCCATCAAGCTAGCTGCGTACCTGACGCAAACTATAAGTTCTTAGTACTTCATCTAGTCCCTCATAACACATTTTCATCTATTCCTGGGTCCACGTTAAAATAATTCTCTGCTTTCGAATCAGGGATTGGCGGAAAAGTGCAAATCAGCTGGTGATTCATGGCCCACCAATGGTGTATTCCTCCAGCGTCTCTGAAGGCAATCACCACACTCAATTGCGTCGCCCAGAAGAGGGCCTCGAGGATCAACCAATTCCTGGCTGAGAGAGAGCCTTTAAGACTGCATACACGGCAGTTATTGAGGTGATCAACGCCTTCCTCCATGCAGTCCCGATCACCTCCAGCAATCGCAGTCCACCTGGTGTGTCTATTGAACGCCGTATTCTTGCGGATAATCAGCACAGTGTATCATTACAGTAGCCCTAAATAAGATGACTCACCTGGTCATGTCGTCAGTTGAAGAACCACCAAAGGGCGCCCGTTAGCGCCGGTACGATGATGATGATACAAGTTGCCACAAGGACTTTGGTGTCGTAGTCATCCCCGCGGGCCTGCACCTGTTCCGAGCCCCAGGCGCTTTCCGCGTCTGCATTCGCGTCCAACGAATCCGTGGAGCCCAAAAGAGTGTCAGTCTCGGCGGTATCGTCGGCCAGGGCGGAGAGCCGAGATGAGGACTTGGAAGGATGTGAATGCATGCTGCTAAGCGTGTCCCGCTATAGATAATGTAAATGGGGTGTAGTTGCCGTAGGTTATAGCAAATCCCTCGCTAACAGTTCGTGTTGCCGGAAATATTGAAGTGCAACACCTGAAACACCTGATGACCGCTAGACGGAGTGCTTAAATACCTTGTAGAAGTGTTGCTTGTTGGAAGTTGCTTCGGTATACCCCACAATGATCCTGCGCCATGCCATCTTATCAGATTGATTTGGCTGCTTGGCAAAGGCCTCGTTGCCGATTAGTGACTAAAGATCATACGAATCATCCTTGGCGGACGACGCGATCCACCCGTTGGCGTTGGAACAGTTGAACAACCCTTGTTGTGGGCCGACTTTCCGAGCCGGTTGAGACTATTCTCTGCCTTGGCTCTTGGCTGGGTATAAGCTCCAGAAATCCGAGTGAACCCGATGTTGAGGGCCTTGTGTTGTTTCCGCACCAATGAGAAGAGGTTCGCAAAGTCGTAGAAGCTCTACGTCTCTTTGGCTCTTTGTATTTCGATGTCAACGATGTGTGCCTCTTTGGAGAGTCATTGATAGACCTATGGTTGTGTTGTTTGACCATGCCAGCGATGTCGGCGAATAATCGAGAATGTTGTCGACATGGTCAGTCAAATGGCCTCGAAAGCGCTTGAAGGACTAACAACGAAGTGCCTCGTTACACGAGCATGAAAGGCCGATGTTTCCTCGGCGTTTTGTATATAGTTCTGTCTCAACCACAGCACAGCTAGCGACTTCTCCTCTAAGCGCAGTCTTCCCACATCACTACGCGCTTCTTCGCTATTGTCTCCCTGGCCGCTGTCTTGAGTGTGGCCAGCAACACGTTCACAAGCCCCACCGCCACCCCGAAGAGCCACGTTGTAGAAAAGACTGCCAACGTCGATAAGAGAGCGGACTCGTGGTACGGACCTGTGAGTATTCCCCTTTCCCGCTGGTCCCTGCTTGTGTTCTCGTATCACACCAAGCTTCCATTGCATCTACGCCTGTGAGGAGGCACGGAAGAACACCCTGGGCTTTCCAATAATCTGGCTTGAGTACTGCTTCATGCGGAGTGGTACTACTGAAGCTCGCTTGAGAGACAGAGGCTGCTGGGGAGACTGGTCGATCATGAAAGCAGCCAAATGCCGCCAAAATGCTCGTTCAATGCACGGAACCACCGAATTTCGAGTGTAACTTTCTATTAATGGATCATTGTCCATAGGTGTGAGAAACATTGCCACTGTTCAGCTTTAAACCAGGTGAGCATAGTCTGAGTTATGGCGGGAAGAGAAGGCCGCCTCCAAACGTTGCCGCTGTCTGGAATAGCACCATAATTCGGACTTGAGAATGAGTTGAATAACTAGATTGAGAAGCGGATGTTGAGTGAACGACCTTTCTTGCAGCAGTGTGTTCGTGTTGCTTCTAGAACTAACCATACCAGACAGTGCACTGTTGACGCTGAAGCATACCTAGTGAAACTACAGGAGCGAAAGCTTGCTAATCCCGCCGCTGCCGTCTTCTATTCCTGCGCTGTCCCCTCTACCCGCACTGTCTTTCCCACCCGCCATATCTTTTTAACATGCACTCTATGTGACTATACCTTTCCTTACTCTTTAGACCTCATGTCGACTAATATGCTCTTATCTAAGAGACTCAATTATCCTCAACTTCCCTGACGCACTCTGCTTGCGTATCTAATACCACCTTAGGGCGGCGGATCATCTGGACGCTCCCGGAGGTCAGAGTAGCGCTGCTGGCTTATCTCCGCCTGTATCTTCTCACCAACGCACCAAATACTTCCGGTAGCGCGAAGGAATGAGGGGTCGCGGATAATCCCGGTCTCTCCCTCCCGCGGGAACGCAACAAACCCGCTGTGGAGATCCCGTCTCACTCACCAGCACATCCCAGCAGCATCCCAGGTTTGCCAGCTTCGTTGGCAATGCTAGGTAATCCAAACGCGGGGTTGGTCTGGAGTCCCCAGATGCCAAGATCCAAGACATCTTGGTTAACACTGAACGGGCAAGGCTATGTGGAGTTCAGATTGCTTTGCTCTGGCGCAAGTTGCCTAGATATAAGAATGAGACCTTATCATGGAGAGGAGTTGTGAGGCGTTGGAAAGACACAGCTCTTTAGTGGCACTGACAACTTGTTCCTACGACTCCCAAACTTTTCATGGCTATGGCTTCCAATGAAGGGCTCAAAGACGGTGGCGCCGGCAAAGATGTCGTCAGATGTGATGAGGTTGAGCGCTCATCTGCTGACAAGTCGGAGCCGAATCGGCAGTTCTCTCCAGAAGAGATCCAGGGTCGATCCGATCTCCTTCGCGACTTGAGCAACGCCGAGATGGAACAGTTGAACAAGAGCGTGGTGAAGAAAGTTGACTGGCGCATGATGCCGACCATCACGTTGAGTAAGGCATTTTGATCAATCTCATATCTGAACCCATTTGCTAATGAAACTTCTCCAGTGTTCCTCATGAGGCAAGTAGAATAACCCAGCACTGACATTCAAGACCGAACGACCGTTGTTCAAAAACCGACTAATACCGATTCTAGTTATCTCGACAGGATCAACGTCTCTAACGCGAGATTGGCCGGCATGCAGGAAGATCTGCATATGTCAGATACCATGTGGAATTTGGGGATCTCAACCTTCTACATCGGCTATCTCATTGGCCAATTGCCAGGCAACTTATGGCTGGCCAAGTCCAATCCCAGGTGGTTTCTCCCCTCAATCATGCTCTTGTGGGGATCAGCGACGATCTGCACCCCAGCTTTGAAGAAGTGAGCCAATCCTTGGAGACCAGCATCATTCTAGTTGGATATTTGCTGACGCTCGGAACAGCGGCGCAAGTTTTGCTGCCCTTCGCTTCCTCACAGGGTTGTGCGAGGCCCCGTTTTTCCCGGGCATCACACTACGTAAGTGATCTCAGTCAGAGTAGAGGAATCTGGAGAAAGTTGACATCGGTAGTGACGTCGTCTTGGTACAACAAGCACGAGAGCCCTATGCGCATGGCCGTCTGGCATGCGGGAAACACAATCTCCAACATCATCTCAGGCTTCCTCGCTGCAGGAATCCTCACCACAATGGACGGAGTCAGAAATCTCCACTCATGGCAATGGTTCTTCCTCATCGAGGGAATCGCGACATTCGTCATCGGCTTGTCAGCTTTCTTCTTTCTGCCCGACTGGCCGCAAAACACCCGCTTCCTCACGCCCGCTGAGCGGGAGATGGCGCAGTACAGGATTTTGTGCTCCAACGGCGGTCAGGAAGAGACCGTAGGTGGAACCTGGGATGGCTTGAAGGATGCGGTCAGGGACCCGTTTACTTGGATCTTCTGCCTCATGCACTTTGCTCTCGTCACAGCACAGTCTTTCAAGGACTTCTTCCCATCCGTAAGTCTTGCATTGCAACTTTAAAGATCAAGATATGCTGACCTGGAGGACGCAGATTATAAAGACCTTCGACTTTGGCGAGTTGACAACATACCTCATCCAAGCACCTCCTTACGCGTTCTCCTTCATATTTGCCTGCGTTTGCGCCTGGTCCTCGGGTCGTAACCAAGAGTCTTTCTGGCACGTCGTGCTGCCAATCATCGGCAGCGCTGTCGGCATCTCTGTCCTCATATCGACAATGAACATTGGCGCACGCTACTTTGGCCTGTTCCTGCTTATATCCGGTACCTACAACGGCCTCAACCTGCAACTTTCTTGGGAGACGTCCGTCGTGCCCGCTCCGAGAAGCAAGAAGGCCGCGCTGATTGCCATTGCGAATTGCATCAGCCAGACGAGCCACTGGTTCAGCCCGTACTTTTGGCCTCGGTCGCAAGAGCCTTTTTACCGCCTCGGGGGTGGCTTAGTGCTGGTTGGCTGTCTTTTAGTCGTCACCTCGGCTGGGCTGGCAAAGTGGCGCGCGATCAAGCTGAACAAGAAGCTGGATGAGGCCGAGGGGTATTCTGAGCATTCTGGGGTTGAGAGAGGTTGGCGATATGTTTACTGAACTTTGGTGTTAGGAGAGGGTGGGATGGTGAACGCTGCAATGGCTGCATTATTTGTCTGTCACATTGTCCGCGGAATCATAGTAGGAACCAACAGAAAAGAGATATTCGGTCGCAGTAACACGAACTGAATAACTGGGCATGTTTTAAATAATCAAGTCCATTAGTATTGACCACGAGAAAGTTTATGGAAAGCCGTGTGTGTTGCGAACGTGTGTTCTCAAATCGGCGGCGACTTACATGTGGGGTCAATGATGCGTATGATCCCGACGTCCGTCTATGCAACGACGCGAATAGAACAAGCGAAGAAGATATGCATGTCGAAATCTAGCGGGTGAAAACCAACTCAGTTTTAGTGAGCAATTTGGCAAAAATGCAAAAAGAAACTCCTCGACGGGGAATTGAACCCCGGTCCCCGGCGAATCGTGTTAATGACAAGCCGATATCCTCACCACTAGACTATCGAGGATTTGCTGATGTCTAACGCCGCACAATCAGTATCCTTCTACCCCAACGCAGGGAGCGCCACCAATTTTCGCCAGGCTTCCTTACATTGCAGTTGCATTCTGTTGTCGTTGTATTTTAACTTTGAAGGCTTGACTTATTTCATTCTCATGAGTAGCGAGAAGTCGTTCCAACTCAGCGTTTCCAGATGGTCAACCATTTCATTCGTATTTATGATGCTTCCTGTAGAAGCCCGACCTTCTTGTTCATCTATGTTCGTCTATCATCATGTACAATCTCGGGAAATATCGACAATTCGCAGTCTAATCGCACCATAAGGCCTGCGGCTTTTGTTCAAGCTTCTTCCTCATCCCTCGGCTTCTCTCGCGCACCTTCAATGACCTTGGCTTCCTCCACCTCTAGCCCAGTCTTGGTCTCCGTGTGAGTCTGCCGCAGCTCGATCTGCCTGATAAAAAACGTCGAGATGAACCCAACGCCCGACACGACGCAGAAGAAGATCCACATCTTGCTGATGCTGTCCGTCACGGCCGTCCTCACGACATCCTGCTGCGCCCCCGAGAGCGTCTCAAACAACCCGTGCGCAGCAATCGTCGACCCGCTGCCGATCTTGGCCGCCACATCCTCCGGGATGTCCGCGCCGACGAGCGACGCCGCGTGCCGGCCCATGACGCCCTGGAAGATGACCTGTCCGACGACGACGCCGATGCCGAGCGCAATGTGCCGGACGAACGCGAATGTCGCGGTCCCGACGGCAAGGTCCTGCTGCCGCACGAGCGCTTGCAAGGCGATCAGCAGCGCCTGCAGGTTCGGCGCGATGCCGAGCGCGGCGACGATCTGGAAGAGCACGAGCTTCGGCCAGTCGCGCCGCGAGGGGAAGGTGATGAAGAGCCCGAAGGAGAGCGTCGTGAGCGACATCGCCACGCGGATGATCTCGTTGTACCGGCCCGTCTTCTTGATCGTGACGCCCACGGCGATGGTGCAGAATGCGAGCGGGAGCGCCGTGGCGAGAAGCCATACGCCGGACTGTATCGGGCTGGCCCCGAGGACGGTCTGGAAGTACAACGGGAGGAAGAACGCTATCGCTGCGAAGCCGACGCCGTGGCAGAAGCAGGCGACGTAACAGAACACGACTGAGACTTCGCTGAAGAGAGACCGCGGCATCAAAGGGTACTTTGCCAGGAACTTCTCCACCAGCGCAAAGACACCGAAGCCAACGCAACCGAAGACTATGAGGCAGACGACCGTCGGGCTACCCCAGGGATTCCTCAGCCCGCCGAACTGCAGCCCCAGCAGGAGCATCAACGTCGCTCCCGTGAAGGTGATAGACCCGAGCCAGTCAATGGCCATCAGCCCTTTCACGAGCGGCGTCTTGGGGGTGTGAATCTTGAGGAAAAAGACGAGGATGAGCAGCGAGACGCCCGAGATGGGGAGGTTTATCCAGAAACACCACGTCCACGAGATGTTCTCCGTCAGCCCGCCCCCGATCAGCGGCCCAATCCCGCTCGCGAGCCCCCACACGGCGCCGATCATGCCGAAGTACGCCCCGCGCTCCCGCGGGCTGAAGAGGTCGCCGATGGTGATGTTCACCAGCGCCATCAGCCCGCCGCCGCCGAGCCCCTGCACCGCGCGCCCGGCGACGAGCATCGTCAGCGTCCCCGCGAGCGCGCCCACCAGGCTCCCGACCATGAAGACGACGTTGGCGATGATGAGGATCGGCTTGCGCCCGAAGATGTCGCTGACCTTGCCCCAGAAGGGGACGGAGGCCGCGTTGGCGAGGAGGTACGCGGCGCCGATCCACGCGAAGCCCGAGTCGGAGGCGCCGACGGCGCTGGATATTGTCGGCAGGGCCGTCGTGATGATGACGGCGTCGAGGGCGGCGAGGAACACGGCCATGCAGAGCGCCAGCATGAGGATCGTCGTCTGGGCCTTGCTGCGCGCCGGCGCGGGCTTGGTTACGGTGGCTTCGTCGGCGGTGGTGATGCTGCCTTCTTCGCCGTGGTCGTCGGTGCTGCTCCCCCTCTTCTGCTGCCCGCTTCTTTCCTCCTCTCCTCCATCTCGGCTTCGGGGGAGCGGTCTATCGTCTGAGGGAGGTTTGTCGATTTCGCCTGCCATGGTGAGCAACGAAAGACCTTGTTAGTTGGGAGCACGGCATGCTGTCCCTTTTCTGAGCAACCATGCGGGACAGGACTGATATACTTACTACCTTGGCCGTACCTCTCCGCTCTCCTCCCTCCCTTTGAAAGAATTACCAAGAATAGGAAGGCAGCACATCACACAGCGGCCGCCGTTAACCATGGGTCCTTCGTAAGGGGTGGGTATCAACGAGCTGCGGCGCAGAAGTAAGGCACAGTTCGACATCCACAATACAGCCTAAAGGTACATCCAACCGTCCAAGTCGACATCGCCTCTTCCCGGAACCGTCTCCGATGAAGAGATCATCTTAACCCCAGCACCCTCAGACTCGCGGACGTTTCTCTCTCTTTGGTACAACCCCGCCAGAACGATGCTGCCAATTCGTAGTGACAGTAATCAGTCGCAGGGGGTGTGTTGTTGGAGGTCATCTCTCTCGGTCTCTGGCATGTGGCAGATGTGGCTGCACCGCGTGTCGTGTGTACGGTTCACGGCGCATATGCGGGAGGAGGAGCCACATTTTCCGCCCCCCTTCTTGGCCGAGCTGTGCCGCATGCACCGCAGATTTGGGGGAGAGGGGAGGCTCACGGGATCCGGGGGATGTGGTTGGTCGGTGTACGAGCGCAACACACCCCGGGACGGCCCTCTCTTCCCTGCCCTGCTGCCCCCCCGGTCCCCACGCCTCTCCGTTGCGTCTACTTTGGGGGCGGCGGGCCAATTAGTCGGCCATCCTTGTTATCGACGACATGGGTTTCTAAATCCCTGACGGGATGTCTAAGTGGACGACGATGACCGGGATGGAGAGATTCGGACTGTGCTGCCGAAAACTAGCCAACAGGGAGTGCGTGATGCAAGCAAGGAGGTTGACGAATGTGCACACCGGTACGGGGAGAATGCTCATTAGTGACAAAGGGACTTTCGTATTGAATGGAACCCAGAGACAGAATTGGAAAGATGTTCCTGCCAATCGGGCCCGAGACTGGCGCACGCCGTTTTCGTGGGCTGATAGAACCCCTGCTCCAACGCCGATTAAAAAAAAAAAAGATCCAACGTCAGCTCCGAGCCAACGGCATGATCAAATCGCTTGGCACCAAAGTAAGCGGAAGGAAGGGAGGGCGAAGAAAAGGTTGAGCTACGCCTCTCCAGAGAACTTCCATCATACGGTCTCACATCCTGACGCAACGTTGGACGAGGAAGGGGAGGACGGGGTGATATGACGCCCACTCCGATCGCGTCACAGGAGCACAGCGCAAGTGAGTAAGCAAGCTGCAAGGAACGGCGATAGAAGAGACGCAAGTAATATCTTGAGAAAGCAATGAGACGGACGAGGGGAAGAGGAAACGGAGCACGACGTGCGTGGTGGTCATTCCCAGCTTTGGAGAAGGCTGAGCTCTGCGTTTCTGATAGGCACGATCATGCGGATTGCCGACTTCAGGGCCTCAAATAAATGTCCAGTGACAAATGGCCTCGAATCGTCTTCGCCGCAGGACGCGACGGAGGGCTGAACAGGCCGCGCCATGCGTAACGGAGGCGATGTTGATGTCGTGGGACCGCAGACAGACGCCGTCATCGTTTCGAAGTTTGTGTGGTGACATGGCATGTACTCGGCGCAGCGGGCGAACCACCAGGAAGAGGCCGTTATGGCGCACAATGCTCTTTCGTCTATTATGTCTGCATTCAGATTTCTACCCATCCTTCTGGAATGTTTCGTCTTGGAGTGTGGGAGAGAGAAGGGGGCTTGAAGGCGCCCATGAATTCATCTACATGGAACCTCCTCGTATTCGCGACCTCGAGTTCCGCCTGCTGCGACGATCTAGTTGTTGACGTGCGCCATGTGGTGCTCGTGGCACTGGGTTACACGCCGCATTTCTTCCTCGGGCCTAGGCGCGTGCGATCCTCGTGGTGTTTCTGTCCTACCGCGTCAATAACAACGGGGGAAAGAGGAAGAATCAAAACTTTCCACACTTTGTTTCTCCATCTTCTCTGCTTGACACGCGCCGTGCCGCGCTGAGTTTACTGAGCACAACAGAAGCTGATGGGTTTGAAGGAAGGGCACCCATGACTCTGGGATTCTTACCCAGGCAGGATAATACCGAGAAAAGAAGTGACCAAACGTATGGGCTGAATGAGACAAACAACGTTGTATATTCGTAATAAATAAAATCGAAATAATTCGCAATGCGCGCCCACGAGGCAAGCCTGAGCGATAGCGCAGTAGCATTGTCGCCGGCGTTTGCCTCGGTTCAACACGCAGTCCCAGCGATGGCGCAGCGGCACTTTCGCGGCCGAGTTGGCGAAGATCTCGAAAGACGGCGTATCTAAACACGTATGGGGTATCATCGAAAATGCAAAAACCAAAACCAGAAAACCAAATATCGAGGACATCTCCCCATCTTCCCCTCCGTATGCTTCCCTCCCCTTCCCTTCTTTTTTTTGTTTCCCATGAGACGGACCGAAAAAGAGCGATAGCGCAACAGCATTGTCGCCGGTCAAGAAATTTCTTCGTCTCCAGTCCAATACGCCATTTCCCAGCGATGGCGTAGAAGCACTGTCGCCGTTGAGGATAATCCAGCCTCGTTTCCCGTCGCTTTGTTTTGATCGCCGTTGCGAAGGGGTGAACTCGCGCCCGATCCTCGTATGAAAAGCGGATCCAAACATTAGATGGGTGATGTATGTAGTGTAAGTGTGTTGAGCAGAACGAGTAATAAGACGAGTCGAAATATTAAGTATGTTGGGCAAGGTTGAACTGCCGAGAATGTATGGGCGCCTTGGTTGATTGTCGAGTGTGGTTCACGGCAGTGTGTTGAATCTAGAGGTTGTCAGGTAGCGCGGACCTCATGCGAACCTGGCGCATACCGCTGGAAGCATCTACGCTTCCTGACGCTGACCAAAGAGCTTGCCGAGACCGCGCTCCCGAGCCTCACGCCTCGCGGCACCGTCCTGAATCTCGCTGGAGGCATCGGAAGAGATCTTGTTTGCGGGCGGATTGCCAAAGATCTTCAGCAGGACCAACATGGCGAAGCTGCTGACGATGCTGGCGCACAGGATACCGATCATGGCGTAGTTGCTACGGCGGTACTGGTAGCGCCCCTTGGCGGCGTCCTCTGGCCAGCCCGTGTACAGGGCGTACGTCGTGACGATGCTTCCTAGGTTTCCGAGGCCCGATACCAGGGCTGAGGCGGCGGCGACGCCGACTTCGCCGTGGCGGCGCTGGAAGATCTCGTTCGTCCAGGTCATGCAGTTGGGGACGGTCGGGCCGAGACCGAAGCCGACCATCAGGAGGCCCCCGTAGCGGGCCCAGCCGTTGTCAAGAGCGAAGGTGACCATCAGAAGTCCGGCGATCTGGATGCACACGGCGGCTGAGAAGATGAACGGTCTGTGGCGGTGGAAGCGGTCGGAGATTGGCATGATAAGGAGAATCGCGATCAAGTCCATCTTCTTCATGTTAGCTTATGCCTAATGGACTGCGAAAGGTGATACATACGATCCAGATAGGAGCAAAGAGCAAGCTGACTTCGATGCTGGATGCAGTGGGCACGATCGAGCGGATGATGACGGATCCGTAGAGCTGAGTGCCGATACCGACGCCGACGACTCCAAAGTACATCATGGTCAACGGCCAGAGACGCCAGTCAATCAGAACTCTGAAGAGATCTCCGACAGTCCACGGCCTCGGGTGATAGACCCGGCGAAGCTCGGAGTAGTGGACAATGGCGTCGTGGCCGGACAGAGCCTCTGGCGTGGGCGGAATCCATTTCAACCACTTTGAGCGCTCCCGCTTCTGGCCTGGGGGCAGGGGGCGATCGGGGAGCCACCAGAGCAGGGAGAAGCCGAGAACAACGGCAACGAGGCCGTAGATGAGGAACATCCAGCGGAAACCGACGAGACCACCCATGCCATCCATGAGCTGAAAGCCTGCAGAAACGAGACCGACCACAGCAGCCGAAAGCTGGGCAGCGGTGAAGTACATGCCGATTCTCTTGCCGGTGCGAGACGGCGGGTAGAACAAGGTCAGGTAATAGGACATACCGGGCCACATGCCAGCAATGACGACGCCGAGCAGGAATCGGAGGAGCCTGATTTCGTTAGTCTCGGGAGTTTGAGGGTTATTACAATACATACTTGACACTCCACGCACTCTGAACGGCGGCGAAGCAGGTTCCAACGATACCAGTCGCTATGACGATGCGGGCCATCCATACTCTAGGGTTCAATCTGGCCATGACCAGGTTCGAGGGGCAGTCAAAGATGACATAGGCCACGTAGAACAGAGCCAGAGCGGTTGAGGTATCCTTGGCGGTGAGCCCTAGAACCGACATCAAATCATGCCCTTGAGCCGAGTTCATCGTCTGCGCAATGCCGATGTTTGACCTGATGGCTGAGCATAGAAAGTAGAGCGACCAGAAGGCTGCGTGTGTTAACCAAAGTGTACTGCCAAGATTGCGCAGAGACTTTTACCTGGGATGATGCGGAGGTCGAGCTTCCTGGATATTGGTCAGCGTCGTCGGCAGCGAGGCAACTTGACCTGGTGAACACCAACCTGTAGACCTTCTCGACGGTCTCGGCGTCGTACTCCTCGTGCTCCTCCTGGTTCGAAGGGCCGGCCAACGGTCCCGTGGTGGACGCCGCAGCGCTGAACTCATTGGGGGTCTTGTTGTCGTAGGCGTCGCGCGCCTCGTCATCATACTCGTGAGCCATACTCGACTACGGAGCAATGGAAGTGCGTGCAACGAGTCTTTTCTGGCCACTTTTTTGATGCTTGATGTCGAAATGATACCAATGAGCTCGATCGCAGCGGTTTTCGAGGCGTGCTTCTGGGAAACGCAGGGGTTGCACGAGGGGCAGGACGTTCGGCGACTGGAGTGTAGAGGAGGAGTTGAGGTTGGGTGGGCGGATATCACAGGCATTTAAGATCTTTTTTGCGCCGAGACCCTTGGAGACTCACCGGCGCTGATAGTGGACACTTCCAAGACAGCTACCCAGAGCTCTTTTTTTCTTCAGGTGGCCCTCAGCGAGATGCGCTAGCAGATCTGGGACTGGCAAGATCGAAAAAGGGAACGATTTCTCAAGCTAGAGGGGCTGTTTGGGACCGTTGGTCGGTACACCGGCCGTTCTCGCCCAACAGAATGTGCCGCTCCACTGCGGTAGGATTGAATGTACCTGAGACTTTTTTTCTCGCGCGGTGGGATCGTCGGTGGACGCTTCGGCGCTGCCCACATTTCCGAGCCTCAGCAAGCTCCGGACTCGGTCACTAGGGTGAGTCCAGGTGTGACGCCGTCCGACCGGGCTAGAGAAAGTGCAAGATTGTACGAGCCCGTTCATGGGGCTTTCGGAGTGTCATACTAAAGTCGAATTGCATTAGCCGCCAGAACCATCATCGTGTGACTAGCGACGACAGGAGGAGGGCGCTGTGGTTTCGGCTTCCTTCGGCCTCGAGGATTCGATAGTGAAGGGCCCATGGCGGAAACAGTTCAAAGAATTGAGAGATCGCGAAAAGAAGCAGGTTTCAATTGCAAAAAACGAGATTTTGCATCTGTGTAACCAGAAGAGCGCGCAGCTGGGTAGTGATGATATGTCAGTCTTGATGATCAGCTCCAATTACAGTTGAGCGTAAATTGGTGGGGTAAATATCATAGGGCACGGCTTGCGCCTATCTGACGTCGCAGGCTGGAGTCGCGGTGTAGGAAACGTCTCTTCCTGAAAGACTCCTCATTCACAGATAAGCTGTCCAAGAGGCCATAATTCTTGCCGTTCAGTCTTCTTTTCGATTTCTGATACCAAACAACACATGCTTGTGCATCGGAATCATAAGGCATCAACAAGTCTGCCTCAGGAGCTGAAGACAGCAGTCATTCTCCTCACTTCCGAACCCCACTTTCGGTCTCATATCACCGCCGTTCTCACATTCTCTCCCCCTGTTGACCTTTGGCTGATAATGGTGACTACCAGCTCTTCACGTCCAGTCAATCAACACCATCATGCAGTCGAGCCTACGTGGAAAGATCTCAATTTTCAGTACCTTTTCACAGTCTGAGTCAAGTGGATGATATCCTAGGACTTGCAGGCTTCGCGATGCTCTGGGAACCATCTTGTCATCCGCCAACGTCAGCAGTCTATCTCACTCCGCAGGACTTTATACTCGATAGAAACGATCAACTTCTCGGTGGCCACACCGAAGCCTTGAGGAACAGCCTATCATGTTGGAACTAGATTAGGAATTTGGCGGGGTAGTCACCCGCCTTGATCCATCGCATCATCCCAACCCCTCAACCTAGTCATCGGTCAAGGCAAGCAAGAGGCATCCTATTCGGTCAGTCACCGATAGGGGACGCGGGATTCGGGCGGCCCAAGTCTTTGGTCCGCGGACGGTCTAGACGGCCAGGGTCTCCGCACAACGTCCACACCATGGAGAAGTCTAGGAGGGGCATAAGGCAGTGATGCCTGATTTTGGCGAGCTACGAGCTCAAGTCGAGCCCAGGAGCCTATAACGCAAGTGCGAGCTGGAGCGCCAGAGAGAATGTAAACAAACCTACGTGTAAGCGGGTTCACAACAGGTCCAATAGGCTGGTGACAGCAGTCAAGGCCCACGTGCCTGCTGTGACATATCACCTGTTCTCTGTGAGGGTGATACGAGTTCACTTCTGCACATCATCATTCTGCCAAGAACAACGAAGCTGCCTATGCTCGACGAGACCTCGAAATGGACACTCGCAGGCCGGTACTGACGAAGAGCTCGACCGGTCCCCAGTCTCCGGTGAGAAGCCCCATGTCGCTTTGCAGGCCTCATCCAGGCAACTCAGCCAACATCGTTGGCCCCCAAAAGCTGGCTCTTTCAACGGCCTCAACGCGGCTGTGAATGTAGACTTGAGTGTCGGTCCCGCTTTAGTGCGGCTCAGTCTTGAGCATTACCAATGGAACTTTGGCGTGAGATCTCACAGGATTTCGGAGTAAGCAGACCAGGTGAGTGATTCGGCCTCGATCAGCTCTGGGCATAGACTAACTGAATTTCGACACAACAGTAGGTAGGGAGTTCACAACTGTACCAGCAACTCACCCGAAACAGTCACGAGACTTTCCATTTCATAGGAGAGGACAGGGATCAGGTCTAAAGGCTGGCTGGCAGCCTTGAGGCCTACAGGCTACGGCCAACAATACGTTGCCCTGTGAGTCAGACTCGCATTCTCTTGTCTGCCAACGTGCCCAAGATGGGTAAGGGTTTCGGAGAGGGAACAGACGAGTCACCTTGCGTTGCCGCCTGATTTTGCTGTCGAACAACATAAAAGAGTAAAAAGGTTTGAAGAACCCCGAACAGCATAACATCCTGAGCTAAGAGCCCAAAGCAATATTTGCAGTGCAACATACATATCCGCACTCGATCGCGCCCTGTACTACCATGTAAGTGGGTGGGTTCCCTCACATGCTTGACAACGGAGCATCGCTGCGCTTCTGCCTCGCAACCCGCAAGCCGGAGGAGTCATCCTGCCCAAAGTGGGTCGTGGTCCGTCCTCTCAGTGCCTCTTTGTGGCTGGGTGGCAATCGGACAAGGGTCACGTGGCGTGCGCTGGCTTATTAATGCAGGCAGGCTGTGGCTGGTGCGCGCCGCAGCTGCCAGCTCTTTCGCTCTGCCGCCAGAATTTTCAGGCCAAACTAACTTTTCTGCCTTCCTTAGCATCGGAGCTCTCTCTCACCCATCAATCCAAGCTACGAAAGCCGACGCGCGTGTCATCGCAAAGTACGCAAAGTACGACCCTAATATCCTGAGCGCTGCCATACCGCGCCTTCCTGTTCCTTTCTTCCATCATCTTCTACCCTTTGCGTCTTTATTGCAGTTTCCCTGCCGAGGACTCCCGGGAAGTCGCGACCTTCTCTTCGTCACCAAACCGCCCCCCGGTCACGACCTACCTTTTTTCCCCCGACCATCGAACCGCATTCTTCTAGACAACAACCCCCCGACATCAGTCAAGCTGGACATCGCAGCGCGCTTCCCGCTCAATATGTCCGTCGTCTATGAGCCCAGAAACTTCATGCACGACGGGTCATACCCTCCCATTGGAGACCCAGACCATGACCACAATGACCCGACAGCGCAGTACCAGGCGTCCGACGTCCCGGAGCTTGCCTCCTACAACCCCACAACGTCGATGCTGGGAGACGACCGTTCTCTGATGCCTGATGGCCTCGGCGACACTACCATCGACGTTCCAGATGCCACGCGACTCGACCTCTCCGCGCCGCCGAGTCTCGCCTCGCTCCCTTCGAACTTGCCTCCCGCTATGCCTGACCCGCTGCCCTCGAACAACACCGTCGTCACACCCCACAAGGACGAGGCCGAGGCGTCAACCCCATCATCGAGGGTCAAGTGCATACCAAAGCCCGAGCGCGAGGTCACCAAGCAGGCAGATGGCAAGTTCTATTGCACATTCCCGGGATGTACGGAGGAGACACAGGTCTTCACCCGGAAGTGCGAATGGAGGTAAGTCTGATTCGGCCCCGGCCCTCATACCTTGAGAGCTCCGCTTACATACTTTAAACTGCAGCAAGCACATGGACAAGCACGAGCGACCCTACCGATGCGCCGCCGAAGGCTGCGAGAAGTTGCCTGGATTCACTTACTCCGGAGGCCTCCTGCGTCACGAGCGCGAAGTCCATGGCAAGCATGGTGGACCCAAGAATACTGTCAACTGTCCCCACCCGAATTGCAAACGTCACACAGGCAAAGGCTTCTCACGACAAGAGAACTTGAACGAACATTTGCGCCGGGTACATACTAGTGACGGTTCCAGCACCGTTCAGGACGACGTGCAGACTGGTAGCGACGGCGACAGCGAGAAGGGTCTCATGGGTAGCCTCGTCAACATGGGCGGTAGCAACAAGCGCAAGCGCTCGCGCAAGAGCTCTGATGCTGGCTTTGAGGAGCTGCGCGAGGAGATCAAGCGCGTGCGCATGGAGAACGAGGATCTGCGCCAGCAGCTCGAGAGACACAACCAGCACAGCTTCGCCATGATGTCGCAGATTGCGGAACTGCAAGAGGCGCTGCGCACGAATCTCGACGCCGCTGGGCTCACTGCTCCCACTGCCACGATGTTGTAGGGCCCTCATCTGACCATGGGAACAGCGACGACTTCGCCTCAGCCTACGCCTCCGCCCGCGCCCGAGAACGCGCCCACTGCCTTGCGATTCTCCCCAGACTTCCCGACACGGCCTTACGACCAAATCTCCCTTTACCCCGGCAGCTCCGATATTTTCTAGGCTGCCACTTTTTTGTCACCCTTGTTACACATACATCACGCACCACACACATCTCTACACCTGACGAAACAAGCATCGATGAGGCGTTCTGGGAGGGGTCGAGTTGCCGTTTTTTGATTCACACTCATACCTGGTCTTCTTTTCCATTAGGGCGGAGTCATACGCCGTGTATACTTCCGCGCAGGCTTTTTCTTTTTCTTCCGACGAAAGGGATAATCATTCACCAAAGACGAAAGAGGCAAATCAGGCGTTTTACGGGAAACTCGGTCTTTTTTTTCTCTGGTGGCGAAGCACAAGAACGATGACGACTACTACTACTATTACTGCTTTCTGAGATATCCCCCTTCCCAACCTTCTCTCTTTTTCTTTTCTTCCGCATACCCTTCTCTTCGCAGAGCGTAAAAGAAGAAAAACAAAATACCTCTTTCCATGACGGCGGCAAATGGTAGAATGTACATTTTTGGGTTTTTTCACCCTAACCCTCCCACTATTACTTAAAAATTCATGTCCCCCTCTCTTCTCTTCCACTCCTACAACCCCCTTTTTTGTAATTCTATTGGTTTATATCTGTTGTTGTAGTTGAAAGCTCTTAGACTGGGAAAACCCAAAACGTGATGATATCCCAAACCATAAATTAACATGAACATCCTCCTCTTCTACGTACAACTCTACCTCTCTCATGGTGCCCGTGAAATGTGATTCGTAATGTGGCGTTGAAGCTAGTAATTGCGCCCTGCATGCATATGTAATCCTTCCAAACCGTAACTCTTTCTGCTTTGCATATCGTGTCCGTACCTTCTCTTCTAGGGAGATCGGAGAGAGATGACGTACCCCCCCGGAGAGGGTGCTTTACGCGTACCTGAGCCGCGCACGTCGTGGGCGTGAACATGAACATGGGGTAGGAGGCTAAAAAGACGCGTCGTCACATGCATCTTTTTTTTCTAGAAACGTCCAAGACCCCGGGCCTTACACTAGGCAGCAGGCCAACATCGCAGGTTCGATCTGCGCGGGGATCCGAAGAGGGTCGCTCTCGCGCCCTGTTTCTCGTTAACTCTTTTTCCTGGGAAAGAGACATTTTCTTGTTCTCTCCCCAGGGCGGGCTGGCTGCAGAACGGGATGCAAGGGGGATGTCAGCGATCGTCACCAGGACAGCTGAGTCATTGGAGGAGAGGGACGGGATGAGTAAGAAGCCCAGTCTGCCACATCCGCGGCCTCTACATTCTTTTTTCCCATTCTTGTTTTCTCGTGGGATTGTAGCGAAATAAGCAGGGGACCGGTACTTTTTTGGTTTGGATATCTTGGTCTAGCCTGAATGTTGTTGTACATGACGGTGGTCTCAAAACGGGGGAGTTTTGTCAAGTCTACAGATGTGAGAAAGCACGATTTGCAGGACAATGTCTAGACCTCAAAAACCTCGCCGAGACCTTCGGAGCCGCCCCGTCGGTTCTCGACGAGGTCCAGCCTCCAACCCTCCCAGTTCGTTAGCGTGCGCTTAATCTCCTTGATGCGCTCAAGTCGCGCCTTCGCATCGTCCTCTTGCGCGCGGCGGAACGCATCCTCGTCAAAGTCCATGTCATCGTCCTCGAGGAACTCGTCGTCTCCAGTGCCGGTGAGCGCGTTGATGCCGCTCTGGAAGAAGTCGCCGATGCCGCCGTGGGTGGGTTGCTTGCGATGCGCAGAGGGCGAGGTGCCACGGCTGTTGCTCAGGCTGACGTTCTCGAACCCGGGGCTCTGAGGGCCCGGCTGCATCTCACGGCGCTTCTCCTGCCAGTGTCCGTGGCGGAGGTCGTAAACCTCCTTCTCGAGATCCCGTACCTTCTTCTCCAGACGCAGACGCTCCTCGTTCTCGAGCTCATCGACGCCATCATCGTCGAGACCGCCGCCGCCCTCGGTTGACTTACGGCTGCGTAAGCGCGTGTTCTCGCTCTCAAGGCTCTCGACGCGGGCCTTAAGCTCGCTGACCTCCTTCTCGGCGCGCTCCTTCTCCTTGCGCAGAGTCTGAGTGCGCGAGTCCTGTTCCTTGTGAAGAGTGGTCAGAGTCGTGACCTTCTTCTCGAGGCCATCCGCCTTCTTCTCGGCCTCGAGGCGCGCATCGATAGCATCGGCGAGCTCGTGCTCGAGGGTGCGGAGTTTCGTCTCGGCGGATGTGCGCTCGCTGCCTTCCCGAACAGCCTTCTCGGCGGTGCGATCGAGGTTCTTGCGCAGGTCTGCCAGCTCGTTCTGGGCTTGAGCGGCGGCCTTTTCGGAGCGAGCGAGCTTGTCTTCGAGGGCGGCAATTTGCTCACGCTCGGAGGAGGTACCGCTTGCTTGGCGGTCGACTTGAGCGCGCAGCTTGGAGATCTCGATTTCCATGGACTCGATCGTCGACGTCTTGGACGCCAGCTGGGCTTCAAGTTCGGCGGGGGGCGAAGACATGGAAACGGACGGTGATGAGCCGTGACGGCCGCCCGAGCGGGAGGCCTGTTGCTGTAGTTGAGAGTTTTGGCGTTGAAGGGCCTCGATCTCGGATTTCTTGTTGTGAATGTCAGATGACTGATACAAAGGTCTCGGGAGGTTGTAACATGACTTACCAGCTTCTCAACCTGGCTGTCGGCGCCATTGCTCTCCCCCTCCGTCTCGCGCAAGTCCGCCAACTCCTCCTCTGCCTTCTTCCATCTCTTCTCGGAGTCTGTTGATTCCTTTGTAAGACGCTTGTTCTCCTTCTCGAGCTCCTCTATGCGAGCGACTTGCTTGCGGTAGATGTCGGTTGCGGTTTCGCCCTCGGGACCCTGGGTTCCCGGTGAAAGGGGGCCTGTGGATATAGAGCCTTGTCTGAAGGAAGCCGACCTGAGCTTCGATTGTTGAGCTAGTGATGGCTGGGAGGCGGTTGGGGATGTAGGTTGCTCTGCGACTGCCTCAGACGCCTCTTTTTCCTCCGCCTTCTCGTCCTCGTTGGCGGTCTCGGCGGGCGTGGTGGGCTCGGGTTCGGGCTCGTCTGCCTTGGAAGCACTGGGCTCTGCCGCGGTCGCTTCTCCCTTCTCCTTCTTTGTGGTGCCGGCCTTCTTGGTCTTCTTCTTCTTCAACTCCTCTACCTGCAAGAGGGTCAGCAAGGTGGGGGTGCAATGGGACGTTAATCGACGCATACCCTCTTCTTGGCTGCGGCCAGCTTCGCCGCCTTGTCATCGTCGGCCATGATGACTTTTGGAGTGTGAAGGCTTGTCGGTAGTGTGTGAGGAAAGGTTGCCGGTTCTTGTGCGGCGAGGGAGCTGAGCTGTCAAAGCACGTCGTCGAATGTCGGATGAGGAATGCGATGGTCGCAAATTGGACGGTTTGGCCTGCTGCAGGAGCTTGCTTAGCTGTCCACTCGTGTCAGGAACAAGCCACATTCCATGGCTTGTGGTGCAGTGGTGCCCGGCAGGGGCCTTCCCCAATGACGGAGGCGGACAAAGGCTACAGCTGCCAGGCGTCGAGAATGTACGCTAAAGTTGCAGGGGACAACCTTCTTGAGTTCGAGGAATACTTCCCGTAACTCGCGAACATCAACAACACGTCGACTTTCCCTGCTTCCGAGAAGTCAACAATTTCGATGCAAGCAAGGAATTGCCGGTGTTTCCGGCCCCTTCACGGTCAACCGAGCCGAAATAGCGGTACACAACGGCTCATGAATAGCAATGAGCGCCCATACTGCAGATATCCACATAAACAGCAATGTCAACGCGCAACGCTTTCGTTGCCACCAGCGACCTTCACCGTTGACCACCAGTCGATGCAAGATATTGACGAGTCTCCAACATTGGAACCAATGGCCAACCTTGAGAGATAAGACGTGCCAGCGGGCCAAGCGGATTGCAACAAATGCATACGCAGTACTGCAGCGAACTGCCTCCGCTGCGCAGTTCCCGCCCCACGACGTCCTCAATGCATTGGCGCCTTACATGCTCCTGTCACATCTCAAGGCGGTCCATTTCCTCCTTTAGCCGCGACTTGATTGGCAAAGTCCCCGTCGGTTCGACTGCACTAGAATCCAGCTGGCACTTGCCAGCAGCCTGATATGGACTGCTACGAATAGACGCATCCGCAGGATGGGCCTCTCGAACCAAGGGCGCTCACTGCTTGGGTGGCCTACCAACAAGGGGACGCAACAGTAACAGACAAGGATCTCTCACGTTCGTCATAAGTCAGAACACCCCGGGACAAGGCGACTTAGCTCATTCAGGATCGTCGGAGCTGCCGCAGCAACACCCATTTGAACTCTATGCAGCTCAGACTGTCCAGAAACCGTGGTATACTAAGAAGCTGACATACCACCCAAACCAAATGCTCATCTTACTCTCCTTCAACCCCCCAGCGCGCGCTGGAGGAGGGTCCATCACAACACCAGGTCGTTGACGGCAGGAGTTCGTCATGGGCCAGTGCGTATCGAGAACCGGTGGCGGGGGCGACGGCGACGGCAAAAACAACACAAGTCCTGCGAGCTCCAGCAAGCCTGAACCCCGCTGTCTGGCGTCTGGCTGTCCGAGGACCTGCGATCCTTCCTCGAGGTCGCGATACTGCACACAACATGCCCAACTGTGCAGGAGACAGGGATGTTCAAAGCTACGATATCGAAAGGGTCCATACTGTCAAGAACACCTGCGTGAGTTGTTTCCACTCCCACCAGCCAAGCCCACTTCTCAGGGTTTACATCGCTGACTCTGGAGGCAGATACGTGTCGTGCGTCTAGGTGTTCGAATGACCAGGCCAAATTGATAGATGCATGGTTCACCAATAACTTTTGTCTTGAGCACCAAGGCGAAGAAGTCCTACGCGCTTATTTCTACGGCGATTCTGTACTGCCCGAACAGACGTCTGGGGCGCAGGCC